TTATTGGAACAAATGCTCTATGCTTGAGCATACAGTCAGTATCAGAAGTTGCATTTGCGGTTATGGGTTTATGTTTATTGCGGTCAAAAGAAAAGAAATTGTAATTTGAAAAGATTGAAATTGTAAAGGGAAAATACGAAAGTGGAATGAAGAATGAGTGGAATAAGAAATAGCAACTTTTGCAGTACAATAAGTGGCGTGGAGAAACGACTTCCCTTAATAAATAAGATGAGGTAGACAATACGGACAGGAACTATCAAATCTGTTACATGTCTAAATTATTTGTGGATATTTGTGACAGGTTTCATCCTTGTAAAGATTCAGCCATCACATCTTATTAGATTATATTGTGTCTGTCGATATAGAACAATGACTTAAAATATTACGATGAATTTATGAAGATACAGTTTTATGAGTCCCAGTACTGAGACCTTTAATAATATGAATTAGCAATGAATGAAAAGATGAAAAAAACAAGAGAATTAGAGAAAATGAACTCAGATAGGAATTGAACACTTCAAGACTGATTATTGACAAGGTAGGATTAATTTATACTATTATTAAAATTATTCCAGTGCTTCATGACACAAAATATATAACTGAATATCGACCCTGAAGATGTCTCATTCCGAAGTGCCAATAATAATTATATATTGAGTTCTGCTATCACATTTCTTTTTGATCGTTTCGAAGTTCGTTATGTTTTAATAGGCTAGAAAATGGAACTGAAATAGTTTCACAATTATTGTCAATTTCAGTTTCATTGCAAGAAATTCTTTGAAGGTCAACAGACCCTACAAAAAATGATGAATGGCTTTGATGACATTGTCGGATTCTATATAAATTGTATAAGTTATATAAGATCTGCTCAATTAGATAAGAATCAGAGGGATACTTTCACTTCTATCTTTATTATCGATACTTTCCAGAGGGTCATCAGTAAAGAATAGCGCAAAAAAAAGAACCGTTTAATCATTTCCACATAAAACCTGATTTCTCATTGCTAGACATCATCATTCTTATTCTATTGACTTCGTGAAAATATTCCAATTAGATATAATCAATTTGAAAAATAAAAAGAAAGAGTTGTAGTGAAATATCCAACTAAAACGTTTTAGTAAATGATAGAAGAATTTGAATATTAAATAAGCATTTTCTAATATCTTTATTACTAATTAATTAAGGATTATTTGCAATATCTGATACTTAATTACTAATTGTCATGCATACATTTGATACACAATACACCTTTTGGATAATAGAGATGAAATTTGGTTCTCATAACTTTTCCTAATAATTCTTTTTATGCAAATTAGTAATACAACGATATTTTCTTATACCATAAAACAAGACCGATAATAGTTAATTGGATTGATAAGGAAATTGTAAATTTATGGTATTTATTTTTTTAATTAAAAGTAGTTAACAATACTTCGAATGCATAGTAAAAATATTTGTATTACTATGATAAAAATAAGAGGATATAAAAATTTGATGAAACGTTTAAATAAAGTAAACAATGAAAATGCTGCATTGATTAAAATAATATCAAAGAGAAGTTTGAAATGACAGATTTAACAAATCATTAGAAATTGGTCATTAATTAAAATCAAAAGTTAACATCATTTTCATCAATGGATAATAAACGAAAGAACAACAATTTTGATTGTAAAGAATGAATCGATAGATTAATGAATTGAACATATTTGCAATGTAGCAGAGATGATCGTTTAATAGAATGAAGAAATATGTTGTTTTTGTTCTAAGAAATGTATTTCCCTAAGAAGTAGAAAGATTAGTAAAATGATAATGAAGAAGGATAAAAGATATTTATGGGAATGATAGATTTGCAGGAAAGCATTATCACACTAACATTATTATAGTATTATCACACTGATATCATCACAACATTATTATGCTGACGAAATGTTGTAAAAGAAATTGCTTCTTCTATTAGTAAATCTGTTTTGCGTGACGAAAAGTATATTGGTTCACTAATAACAATGTTGTGATAATGAGATATATTTTCCTAAGAAATAGAAAGATTAACGAAATGGTAGTAAAGAATGATAAAAGATATTTATGGGAATGATAGATTTGCAGGAAAGCATTATCACACTAACATTATTATAGTATTATCACACTGATATTATCACAACATTATTATGCTGACGAAATGTTGTAAAACAAATCGCTTCTTCTAATTAATGATCCTGTTTTACGTGACGAAAAGTTATCAGCTCATTGATATTTTAAATATTCAAATCCATTTTCTAATTTATTTAATTCAATAGTACCATTGAAATTAACAATATTTTACGATAAAATTAATTAATAATAGCATGCCTTGTTTACCATATGAAAAGTACGAATTTACGCTAAAATAAATAATAATAGCAAAGATTAAGCAAAATGTTTTTGTTACGAATCATTTTAGATGAAATAATTGTAATCAAAATCTAATACTTATATTTGCGTAAAAATTCGTTACATAGAAATAAATAGTAATTTTTAATAATTCTACCGCTTAAATTATTTGTTAAAATTTTTTGCATATTTTAAATGAATCTCTTAACATCACCTTTTATCATAATCTGTAAATTATTATATGACGAATTTTTGAATTCTAAATGAAATGAACATATTCCGAAAATGTTCACAACAATTCATTGCATGTTTTGATCGCAACAATTCATTGCATGTTTTGATCGCAACAATTTATTGCATGTTTTGATCGCAACAATTCATTGCATGTTTTGATCACAACAATTCATTGCATGTTTTGATCACAACAATTCATTGCATGTTCTGATTCTTAACTTGCATGTTTTACTAATTTTTTAATGGAAAAAATAAATAAATGATTTGTGCAAAGAATAATATTATACGACGGAATGAACGCTATCAATTTCCCATGAAATTATATAGCTGCAAAATGACACTGGAACGAACTAGCAGCGAGTGGTTTCGATCCACCGACCTCTGGGTTATGGGCCCAGCACGCTTCCACTGCGCCACGCTGCTAACACGTTCCGTTGTGATTAACACAAACTGACAAATGCGTCCTATAAATTAAATCTTTGTTTTAAAAATGAACTATTGAAATAAATGGAAGGGATAATTATCATTTAATGACACTTTAGAAAAGATAGGAAATACCGGAAGTGAAATAATTTAAACTGAAATTTATGGACAAACAGTAGTGATAGATGATAATTCTTCATTCGTTGTTTAAATTAACTTGCTATTTCGTTGTTTAAATTAACTTGCTATTTCTTTTTTCCTCGCAATCCGGAATAAATTAATTTGGTACTTTTTTTCTCCTCAATCCGGATAACCTTTAATGTATCAAACTACTTATTATATAAGGTCATCGGAAATTATTCAGATATGTTTTGTAACCGTTTTTCTGAAATAATACAACAGATATAATAGGCATTTAAGCAATTATTATTATTTGTTTGATATGAAAAAGGAAGTGTAATGTGGGGATAAAAAGCATTGATAAAATATTAATGATAAGCAAGAATTTTATCATCCACAGAATGTAATCAATATTATAATGCTTTCACATATAATAATCTGCCAAATATCTTATCAAATGATAAGAATCTTACCCTTAAAAAAATTCAGCATATTAAAAACTTTTAGAAATGTATGTAAAAGCTTTTAGATATTTTGAAATTAAAATTTAATTCTACTCATAGAAATCCTTCATTGAAATAATTAATCAAAGATAATGGCTTGATTATTTGTCAATAGGCTTGAATTGTTTCTTGTTCATTTATTCGTATGCAATTATTAAGTATATATTAGACATAAGTTATAGAGAGTAATATTCAAATCATTGATTGCAATAGAAATAATGTCTATTGGGACTACTTGGTTGCTTAGCACCTTAACCATTTTGTTAAATTTAAACTAACTGCAAACTTTATTTTTTGAATTGAAATTATATTTGATGTTTAGATACTATCTGTTGATTTAAACTAATTAAAAAATCATGATATTAGCCTAATTGGCACAATTCTATCCTCTTGTTTATTATTTTGCCAACTTTTCCATATTCTAATTATATCTAAATGATATAAGCACTCTGATGCAGTTAATTATGAACTCATAGATTACTTTAATCAATGCTACAATTGCGCTAGCAGAAAATAATGCAAAAATATTTAAGAGTTAGTTATTTACTTATTTATCATAAGCAGGTAAGAGTATCAACGTCATGCATGCTCGTAACTTATTATTACTTATTAATTGCATTTGTTAGTCTGAAATGTTGAACAATTGGATTTTAATTTCATATCATTCTTCGTTTCGTATTTATTCTATTGCAACTATTTGCTTTCACTTCTCATTTCGTTTCTTTTATGTACGACAAAATTGCTACATTTCATTTGGAATAATATATTATTTTAGTACTATCAATAGAATTGCTGTTTAGTGAGGAATGTTTGAAGGGGTTGAAATTTGTTTTATATTTTTAATAAGGTTCAAAAAGTTCCATTCGTTATTTAATAACAGTAAAAGGTAAGTAATAAAATTAATTTAGTAATTAAAACAAGACAGAAAAATAAGCGATAATATAGAAAGATAAGAATGAAATTTTGTGTTTGAAAATGTTGAAAGTTTTTATTGAAATTCTAAATAATAGTTGTTTTGGAATTTTAAATAATATTTGTTAAGAGTTGATTGTATAAGTTTTACTTTAGAACGTTCACTTTCACAAATGTTTGACTTCCACAAATGTTATTTCTTCAACATCCATAAATAATATGAAGTAAATAACAATTATAATTTAGTCGTTAATTATTCATCACTGTCAATAATAAATTTAATAAATAATAAATAATAAATAATATAATAAATTTATTTCTTCTTAAGAATTATAAAAGTTAGCGAAAAAAAATTTCGGAAGAAAATTTTAAAAAATAAATAAAATTCTAATGCTAATGAAATATCATTATAGCTTCCTCAAAAATACTAATTAAAAAACAATGCTAATTCGTGTTAAACAATTTAATGTCCTCGTGTTGGCTTTATCTGCTGTTACAACAGGAGTTTTCAGTTTGCGTAAGTCAAAGAAGTTTTTCATTTCAAATACAATAGGTAGGTAGGAGATCAAGGTTAAGAGGTCAAAGCAATGATTATCATTATAAGTTCATTGATGAATAGTGAAAAAATATAATCTAGTTGATGGTTTGAAGTCAATAATTGATCTTAAATGATAAATCAAAAAATTATCCAAAATTTTTAGCAGCGTTTATTTGCTTTTCATTTGACCATCAAAATAAACTTTCAATTTAAAATGCTATCAAATAGGCATTATTATTTTAACGTAATGGTTAATTTAAATTTCAAGATAAGATTTTATTAAATAATTTTACCAAAATACAGGAAGAAATTTCAGCTTGTGAAGATATTATTGGAACAGATAGTGGGGATGTAGTATATACGGAAGCCAATCAAGCAATAAAACATGCACCAGGGACAACAGCGCTTATGTTATGCAAATTTGGATATACCAGCTCATTCCCTTTTATAGTGTCCTGTCAGGAAAATGGCAAATGGAGCAATAAACTTGGTTATTTTTTTCTAATATTAAATTATACATCAAATCTTTAACTTCAATTATACTGTATTAGATATATGATTTCTTGTTCTATAAGATTATCTTTAGTAAATTATTTTTCTTTCCCTTCTAATATAGTGTAATTTAGTAAATCTATTATAGTATAATTTAATAAATCTATTACAATATAATTTAGCAAATCTATTATAGTGTAATTTAGTAAATTATTATTAGATACTATTAGCATGGTAAATATTTAATCGTATTTATTCTATGATTTTTTTTAAAGCTATCTGTACTTGAAATGTATTTCACAATATAATATATATATGATTCATCTTAAATTATAATTCTAATCTATTTCAGGTGAATGTATATTAATTAGTAAGACTTGTGATGCTCAAATTTCCCAGCATAACATCATTTATATGCCTGTATGTACTTTATAATAATATGCATGTTTATATACATGTAATGTGCATGTATATGTGTGTGTGTGTGTGTGTGTGTGTGTGTGTGTGTGTGTGTGTGTGTATTTGTCATATCAATAAAAGAAATATTGAAAATCAAAAGGAAAAGCAAAAATTGGTGATAAGTACAGAAAGAATTTTAATGATTTACCTGATTAGGAAAAGATTCTATGAATCATCTCTTCGATAAATCACCTTTTTCTATGAATCATCTTTTTTATAAATTCAATGAAAAGATTTCAACGATTCTATGAATCAATTCATTCCTTTTTTGTTGCAAATATTCATGAATAAATAATAATTTTTACCTTTTAACGTATATTATAAGAAAATTATGTTTTATTTATTTATAGCATTTAAATATTTTAGTTTAAATTTAAAATGACCGATTGTGCTAATAAATTTTAGCTTTAATTTTGTTAATAATGCAAAATTTTCAATTGAATTTCTCGTGATATTTTAATAATTCTGATCGATCTCATCCATTTCCATTTTTTTCCGCTTTCTTTTACGCTCTTTTTAAATTTTCAATAAATGAATATCATAACATTTCATATTTTTGATGAAATATAATAGTAATTCCAGGTGTGCAGTATTTTTATCAAATAGATTAAAATATTTTTAATTTTTTAATTTATAGATAAGATAATGAAGAAGAGAATAAGCAAGGTAAATATGTCTGATAGCAAGGTACAATTTGAATGTTAGCTGGTAATTTAAAATTATGACATTGGTTTTTTTATTTTTATTTGCTCATTTTTGAAAGAGAAAAGTTTCAACATAGACATAGAACTATTTCAATTTACATATTTCATTTTATTTGTCTAACTAATTATCGATTTATTATCCATTCATTTTTTTGCATGTTCATGTATATGTATTTTATCTTCATTTCAATAATTTCATCATTCTTATAAATCTACAATTCATCCTTGCATGCAAATGGAATTTTGGGATCTCAAAGAGTTTCATTGGTGTATTCAGGTTGACTAACGAAAGTCAATGAAGAAAAAAGTGATTGATGAAATTTATTTTCATCGATTTCGATTTCTTAATTTTTCATTTTATGCATGCATGCATGAAATTACAACGCCATTATTCCACATATTTTTTCCATATAGTTTTAGAAAATCTAACTTTCTTAGCCACATTTGCAATTAATTTCACTTTTTTGCAGCCAGGAATCTCGAACAGATATCCATCAGGCACATTTGCGATATTGCAATGTTCTTTGGGTCAAATACCAACTGGGCATTCATCTGCTATGTGTTTGGACGGAAGGTGGACTGCAGAATTAGGTGTCTGTAAGAAACTGCTTGATAATCGTATTTCCAATAATGTAAATCGAACATCCAACATCAAAGTTACTGAACCGAAGGTTGAATCAGGTAGCACCATACAGTCAGGTAATAATCCCAAGGTTGAATCAGTTTGATCATAAAGTTTTTAATGTGTGCCATAACTGTCGATTTCAAAATTTAATCCGTTTCCGAATAATAGTTCAACTATGTTATGGTTAATATATTGTTTCTATCAGCTTCTGTACTGCTTGTTTTGATCACAGCAGGAATTGTCATGACCGAAGTATCGGATGCTATAATTTCTGCCGCTGCATGTTTTATATTATCATTTCTAATTTCCTAAAAATTGCAACCAATTTTCAGAAATTACACCTGATAATATCGTTGAGAATGCAGTGGAGAAATCACTAGTGACAAATATGTTGCCAGCAAATGCGGAAAATATAACATTAACAAATGTGGGAAATACAGCATCAGCAAATGCGGAAAGTACAACATCAACAATTGCGGAAAGTGCAATATCAACAATTGCGGAAAGTGCAACATCAACAATTGCGGAAAGTGCAACATCAACAATTACGGAAAGTGCAACATCAACAATTGCGGAAAGTGCAACATCAACAATTGCGGAAAGTGCAACATCAACAAGTTTGGAAAATACAACATCAACAAATGAGGAAAGTGCAACATCAATAAGTGTGGAAAATACAACATCGACAAGTGCGGAAAATACAACATTAACAAGTGTGGGAAATACAACATCATCTGATTCTGACGAGTTGAAAATTGATTCAAATATGACTTTGGAGAATACATTCTTCTTATTAGATCTGCTAAAAATTAAAAGTTGAAAGAATGTACGATGAATCAGTTAAAATGACGATATTTTCACTTTGGGTCAATGATTTAGGAACGGAGAGGTTTTGATACATTCCTAATATATGTGTATGTGCATCGATATGTATAGCTAAGAATTATTCTTTAATTTCAATACAATGCTATACTAAAGAAAAATGATTTATTGAACATTTTAAAAAAAGAATTATACCTTTTTTGATGATAAGGCAGCAATTTATCTTTACTGAAATGTTATTGATACTTTCCCTAATGTAATTCAATGTCAGTTAATTAAATTTGCAATATTCCTTTGTTTATGAAATTTAAAAGTGTTGCTAAGCATATTACATCTGATTCAAATATTCCCGTCGTTTTTATTTCACTCATATATTATGATGATACATAATTTATCAAATGATCAGGATGATATGTGATGTAGAACGCAGAAAAACTCTATGATATAATTAATTCATGCGATTATTTAAAATATCATCATCGCCTAGTATCCTTCAATAAATCGTATTAAACAGATAGGTAAATTTATCGCTCAATTTAAATTCTAAATTTTTAATTCAATTTTTCAAAATTATTTATTCAGTAAAAATTTTCATACATGATCAATTGAATTGTATAGACAATCGTATTATAATTCGTATATTATGCTTCAAAAAAATTTTTTCAAATACTATAATCAGCTTCTCCGTTTGAATAAATCATTGAATTTTGATAGATTAATTGGATAAAAAGTTTTGTAATTCCTATTTGCCATTGTTGCTGCCACTCTTTTTACTCTTGACATCATCTTTCTTAAACATCCAATCCATCATACCCATTTTATATAAACCAATTGATGTGATTAATCCTGCTATAGACATGATTATCATTTTTTCCTTTGATTTCATTGCCATAATATATCACTTTCCGATAAGCGATTTAGAGATTATTGAAGGATGGATGGGATGAATGTTTTTTAGAAAAGCGCAGAAATGTCAAAGGGATGACAAAATCAGCCGTATTAAAGATGGAATATTTGAAGTGATAAATCAAAAACAATGATTAAAGCATCTAAAAGAAGATCAAATATTTATATCAATACATTATATTTTTTGCATATTTGAATATATGCAAAAATTATGCAAAAGAAAAATACAATTTTAATATTGCTAGATTTAAACAGTGTTGAAGAATTGGATAAAATTCAAAAAATTTAAACTTTTAGAAATTAAATATATTTTGGAAAAATTTTAATAAAATTACAAATGATTTGAATTTCATTCGAATGAGAAAAACGTTAATTGAAACTAATTCAAATTAATAAAATTCTATGCATGTAATTAAACTAAAACTAGAATTAAACTAGGATTAAACTAGAATCATATGTATGTAATTAAACTAGATAGGTGCAATATAAAAACAACGAAAGACAAAACAAATAAATAAAAACCAATAGGTAGAAATAAAAATTAACATATTCATATCAAAAAATTAAAGCGAAGAGAGAGGATATGATCTATGAGAAGAAACAATTATAAAAAAATAAAACAATAAAATTTATATTAAAGAGCAAACTAGAAGTTAAACAACTAAAATACAGCAAATTTCCGTCGGTTACGGTATTTACCGAATTATGAAATCTTTAGGGTTTTTTGATTTTAAATTTTGAATTTTTTTTCTTTGTTTTTTATATATATGAGAGGTCTTAATTTTAAATTAATTTCTTTTTTATTTAGTTTATTTTTATTTTTTTATGTTTATATTTTAAAACGAAATTTTTGTTCAAACAATCGACTTAAACAATTAATGTATTTTGTTCAGTGCTTCATTAACCTTTTGTTTACTAATTCATTTGTTTTTGCTTTTTTGTTCAAAAATAATAGTTAATTATTTGATAAAAATTGTTTATAATTGTTAGATAAAATATATTATAACAGTTGATTAAATTAGTAGGAAAATTTCGAGAACTGTAACATAGATATAATAATCGCTGAGATTTTCTTTTAAATTTCAACAAATAAACAATGACAATTAAACACTACTAATTAAACATTACTGTGAATCAGCGCTATTCAAGCATTCTCTGTGATTTATTTTAATTGAATAATTTCAGAATGCTTCAACAATGCTTTAATTTATTTAAAATTTCATGCTGCAATAAGTGCTGGTAACTTTAATATTTCGAAGATATCATCTCATATTCAAATTAATTCATGTATTTGAATTAAAATTTTCAAAGATAAATTGAAAATGATTTTCTACCTGAAAATGATTTTCTAGAAGGGTTACTAATAACTACAGAAATGATAAGTAGCATTTTAAACACAGGATATAGCATTTTCTTTTTATTCTTAGAATGATACATGTGTAGATAGTGGCGCAAATGTGGCATAGCTTGCGTGACATTTTAAGAGCTTGAATAAATAGTAAAAACAGGGGAAAATATGAAAAATGAAATTTGTAAAAGTTCAATATTAATGATTGAACAATGTTGAAACCTTTCTTCAATGCATTGATGCTTCATCAACTTCTTCATATCGTGATGATGTATATAACGGTTGTTGAAGGATAACACCAAATTTGATTAACAATATTAGCGTTATCGATGTTATCATGATAATAATACTTATCAAAAGCAATACTACCACGAATGCTGATCGTGATTTATCTAAACTTTTTTTGAGGCTTTTTTTTTAAATTATGATTGTATATGTGATCAGAAATGAGAGATGATATTATCATTATCATCATTGGAAAAAAGTTGAGGTGAATTTTTATTTATGAACAAGTCGAAATTACTGATTTAGATTACTTTGTAAGCAATGTCTCATATATTTCTGTATTACTTATCAACACACCATTTGTTCTATATGCTCTAATTAATATTTAATGAGTTTTCAAATTCTTAAATTGCTAATTTCAAATTTTATTATTTGTAATGTTAATCTTCTGCTACTACTCTCGAAGAAATCATATATTCGTCAAATTCAAAAAAATGATTAGTAAAAATCAAAATATTATTTATACCTGTAGATCTAATAGGAAACACAGGTTTTCGAGTAAATGAAATTGGAGGTATGTTAAAGTCTGAAATTATTAAAGTTCGTTAACCAAATTGGCGAATAAAATTTTCTGGAAGCAATTTTCGACAGAAGTCGGGTAGGCACTATGTGGAAGCTTTTAAACAGACTAATTCCGATCGTTTCAAATGATTAGTTTATTTCTTGCAAATTGTTAACTAACAAGATCTTCAACCATCACGCATTATTTAACAATTGATTTAATATATATATAAATGCTGATGCTCTTGAAGGAATCATATATTCTTGGAATTCAAAAAAAAATGATTTGTAAAAATTTACAGCAAAATATTACTTATACCTGCAGGATTACTATGTATCTGGAATTCTTGAATAGGTGAAATTAGAGGTGTCTTAGTTTCAGACTCTGAAATCATTAAAATTCATTGACTAAATTAACGAATAAAGTTTTCTGAAAGCAATTCTATAAATATTAAGGTCAGATGAAATACTACTTTGGTTGTTCGTATTGGATGTCTAAAATTGAAGAAGTTTAAAAAATAAATTAATAAACAAACATGAATACATTTATAATGTTGTATTTGCATGATAATGTATGATATGGTAACGAGAAGATAATCATTAAGAAAGAATTAACCTAATTTGATTGGTTGTCCTTCTTGCCATTTTTTGGAAGTAGTAATTGCTGTGGAAGTAATTGTTGTTACTAATTCAGCGAGTTCAGTAGTCAACATAATAGCATCAGAAATATCAATAATAACCATCGTTGTTATTGGCGCTGTTGTCGTTGTTGTTGCTATTTCTGTTGTAGTTATCGGTTCTGTTTTTAATGTTGTTAGTGGTAATGTCGTTGTTGTTGTCATTGGTTCTGTTTTTGATGTTGTCGGTGGTAATGTTGTTGTGGTTATCGGTCCTGTTTCTAATGTTGTTGGTGGTAATGCTTTTATTGTTGTTGTTGTTGCTACTGCTTCTCCAATTCCTTTATTAGTAAAAGTTGTTGTCGATACAGCGATTGCTACAATGATTCTCATGAATATTTTTCAACTGAAAATTACAAATTAGCAAATGTAGCAGCAAATACGCCTAGTTTTTCATTCAATCCATACTTCAAACATATTTACTTATTACAATTAATATGATAATTTAAGATCAATAAGTAACCTATACTGCTGATTGCTTTACTTATGAGTAATTTAATCCTTATTTTGCACAAACATACGTCTACTCTATCAAGCTCTATTATCAGAAAGGTTAGTCAATGGTCAGTGGAAGAAAATTTTTAATGATTCCATTGAGTAAAAGTATTTATTCTCTTGTCCTATTTTTTTCTGAAGTTAAATAAACTTTTACCCTCATTTCTAATGAAACTCTCAGCGAACACAATGTTAACAGCGATAATGACCAGCTGTGCCCTCTCTTTAACCTTCCTGCAATTTCTGGCTTAGTTTCATGTTTGTCAACAAAAAAAGATATAGATATTTGTCAATAATATCATCAATCATGCATTGCTTGCTACAATTACAGTCTTCCATTACAATGTCAATTGTCCTCTATGATGTAACTGTAACGTCGTTTGCGCTTTCTCTGAATTTAGAAACTCATTGCTGACCCTCAAACGATAACGATTCTTTTCAAATCCATCCTATTGTTTAAACCCTTAATAATTTAGTCTTAATTGTTCTTTCTATTTGTTTAGTAAATTTTCTCTTCAATTTTTTGAAATTATTGAAGAATACAGAAAATGTAATTTTCTGTCTTAATCTTATTGGGAAGTTTTTTAAATGAAATTGATCAGATCAATTTCAGATTTCTTAAACATCAGAGATTAGGATTTCTAACTGAACATAATCTCATGCTGACAATACATTGCTTACCGATAATTTAGGATATCACATGAAATCATCTTTCTTTTTCTTCTCGTAGTAATGTGATGCACAACCAACTGTTGCAAGGAATATTGAAAACAATGTATCATAAGGATTGAAATAATTACAAAATAGTTAAATGAATGAAAACTGTTAAAATATAAATTTGAATAATTAGATAAGTAAATTTAAATATTATCCAATAAGGGTGGTTAGTGATTTTTGAAAATATAAGAAAATAATGAATGAAAGTTATTATAGAATGAAACTTCGATATCAGCAATGTTAAATTTTTAATCAAAACTATATTATAGGTAATAGTAATTAAATCTTATTTCCATATCTCAATTTTATTATATAAAAAAATATCATATGTAGAAGTATTTAAGAATTACATTATATTCTAATCTGTCAGGTAATACAAAGGTAAGATATAGTTCGTTTTAATTAAATCTAATTGATTTAATTATCCTTCTTCCAAACTATTATACTATCTCTCGTAAAATCTCTGTAATCTTGAGTTTGTATATTTTCATTTAAATAATTTGCATAAATGAGATAAATTTTAATCTTAATTTGCATATAGTAATTTTGCCACAAAAGAAATTGTCCATAAAAGAAATGAAAATGAAATACAATTAGTTATTGTAAAATATTCGTCACTGACGTGATCGTTTAATTTTATCTTATCGGCTATAGTGTAAAGATAAGAAAAGGAAGGAAGAATGAGTGCGCTTTGCTTTTTCTTCATTTTGGGATTAGTTTGTCTTGGTGTTGCTTATTATCTTGGCTATTTGGATCAATATATTGCAAAATTTAAGCAATAAATCCGACATGCTATATCAATCATATGGGAAATATTTACTGATAAAATTGATGATCCTATTATTCTTGTAATTTATATTATGATAAGAAGTGATTTGATTTGATGTATTTCAAATTATATTAAAATGAATCGTATCATAACTGCTGAATAAATTTTCACTAATTTCGTTGTAATTCATTTCTAAAGAAAATTCTTCGTTGATTACTGTCTCTGAACAATGGCAAAACGAATAATTGTTGTTCAATGAAATAAAGAATGATACAACTATTTTTCTCTTTGAAATTCCAAGCAGAAATTTAAGAATATCAGTCAATGTTGTCAATAATATAACTAGGCGGTAATATACAGGATAGGATTATTTAACATATCAATGAGATCTGTTGACAATTCCGCCAGGTGTTCTTTTATTTTCTCGTTATAATTGAATTCGATATACTACGAGAGTGAATGTTGAGAAAATAAACGAGGTGTTTTTGGTTTTTCTTTGATTTATCACTCCGATCTTTAGAATGGTAATTTATTCGAAGCTCTGATATATTCACTTAAATTTTCTTTTTATGATCTTTCCGCTAAGCAAACAATGAGTTTAGTAATTTCACAAAGCTGTGCAGAAGATGAGAGATCGTAATATTTTGGATTTGAAGTTAATAAAATTATAAAACTATAAAATTAATAAATTCACAACATTTCGTCTCAATGCTTATTTCTCTTCTTTGAAAGGATTTTTTTTCTAAATTAAATCGCTTAATTAACGATTTTTTGTTTTACGCTAATTAACTGCAATATTATTTAAGTTTTTGAATGCTTTTTTTTGCAATTAATTAAAAACAAAGCGAAAAGCGCACTCTTTCATCTATTCTCAAAATAGCGCTTAAAGCATTTCATATATTAAAGGTAATTTTGAGAGGAATTATTTAATCAGCTTATTAAGCTTAATTGATATGTCAATAAAATAAAAGATCCAATCTCGTTTGCTTTTCTAATTTTATAATTTTTGAACTTTAATTTCAACCGTTCCAAAATATATGAACTTCTAACTAAAATTAAGAAAGTATTTTATAAAAGTATTTAAAGTATATTTCTATATATGTAGAAATGTGAAAACTATAAAATAAAATAATTTTTGAACTTCCTGAAATTAAAATCAATAATATAAACTTTTGTATTACTTTCCTAAAACAACAAGCAATAAAGGTTAAGTGTAAATAAATTTCTTTTGGAAATAGAAAAATATTCGGTATCATTTCAAAAATTTTACATCAATGTTTTTCTATGATTGTAAAAGTTTTCCCTACGGATCTTCAAAATTTGATCATCAATGAAATGGGAAAGATCTGTTTCATTTGCGCATTTGTCTGTTATATTTAAGTAAGTCATATTCAAATACTTATATTTCAGTATTTGAAGTATGCAAATTTTTTTAATATATGAATATTTATACAACAAACGGTGAAACAATAGCATTGCTCAACAAAGACTGGAACATAACTGGTATTTTCATCCGAATTTTCGTCGGGTCAATAATTGAATTAACGTGTGAGCAGTCGGAATAAATGCCGAGAACAGGTCGACAAACCGGATTGATAAGCGGATCGCAGCCTAAGACACGAAGCGTAAGATTAACCAAACCAACTCGGATGGGAAATTCACGTGCGGTGCATCACAAAGCGGTATGCTATGATGTTTTACCAGAAATTCGAAGCGTTCGGGAGGGAAGAATCCGTTTCGGCAGTGTTGCTCCCTTACTGTCACATCGAGCTAAAGTTCTTGCTATGGTACGTACGTAAACGTTTCTAATCATTGAATTTCAGCATCAATTCATGATTTGAAAACCATTTGAATCCAACTCTTGACCTTTGCAATTTGTATTAAAGCTCATCTTTTAGAAGGGCCATTACAATGATTACTCAGATGACGAGGAAGATGATAGTGATGAGGATAGTTTCACGGAAGATGATTATGATGATGTACTTCATTATTACGATCGTCATCATCAATCTTATGATCGTCATCGTGTTCCTATTCATGTTAAGTACGTTCAACTCTATTAGTCAACTTTAAAAAAATCTTTAAAATCTTAAAATTTTTCTTAATTTAAATTTTAGGAAAGATTATGATGAGTACGAAGATGAATTGATTCCATCATCATCATTATCATCATATCCGATTTCTACTTCGGAACTATTTCGTCGACGACCTCAGCCAAAATCATACAAAACACATAAATCCGCCACCACAAATTCGGTTGCAATTAAATCTGCTAAAACTAAACTCAAAAAAACTACTACTCGCTGTAATCCCAAAAATAAAAATAAAAAAACAAAAACAACACTTGGAGGAGCATTACGTTCCGGTCCAATAACACGATCACGGTAAGTATGATCTTAATTTTCTTCCAAGTAAATTCCGTTTCTCTGAGTATGATCTTAATTTTTTTCCGATTAAATACCGTTTCTCTCATTATCATCTTAATCCTCTTTCAAATACCGTTTCTCTCATTATGATCTTAATTCTCTTTCAAGTAAATCCATTTCTCTGAGTATGATCTTAATTCTTTTCCAAATAAATTCCGTTACTCTGAGTATGATCATAATTCTTTTCCAAATAAATTCGTTTCTCTCAGTATGATCTTATTTCTCTCTCAAGTAAATTCCGTTTCTCTGAGTATGATCTTAATTTCCTCTAATAAAGCTGTACAATTATCTTTCAATTTTTCAGAGCGATTATGATGAATAAGGATGATTATTAATTAGATGAAGACAAAGTTTCTTCCCTTCCGATAACGATGATAATGAATGAAATAAATTAATTTATTTCCATTGAATCACCTGCCTAATTTACTCATCGAATACAGGCTGATTTTTCAAACGACTGCATTATTGATTGATTGTGAAAAAAAAAATGTAAATTAATTATCGGAATGTTGAAATACCACCGATAAATGAATAAATGCGATTGATACAATTCCGTTTACGATAAAATTCCGTTTAATTAAAAACGGAATTGTTTTGTATTTAGCGAGCATTTGTTATTTGAAACAAAATCACTTACAAATTGTAAAAAATGAAAATCATTGATTAAACATTACTGTAAAATAATCGTTGAATTCATTTGCAGTTTTGATTTTTGAAAATGATTAAATGTTCAATAATCGGATATCCGAACAATTCTAATATTCCTTAATCTCAATTCTCAAATATATTAATTATTATAAAAAAAATTTTTAAAAGTAAAATTTTAAATTTTAAAAATAAAGAATAAAAGAAGATTTGATAATTTATAATAGTTAACTATGAAAGATTTGATAATATATGATAATATACAATAGTTTTGATAATATAGCATAGTTTTCTTTTTATTGAGTAATTAATATGTTCTAGAAAGAAATTATAATTGATTTATATCATGAATATGATCAATATATTAGATAAGATTGATCTATCATTGATTCGCTTGATCTTAAGTATATCTATTTTTAGTCCAACAATAACACTATTGACGAAAATCATTGATAAGATATGAAGGATTGATGAAAGAATTGTTTTAGCAAAAATGATCACATATTGCTTTATGAAGAAAAAATTTAAAACTTTTTTTATAATTACAGAGTTTTATAACGGATAATAGATAGTTTAAGTTATAATAATTATATAAGAAATATATATAATTCAATCATCATTGAATCAAATCATAATTTATTAATTAACAGTAATAATCATAATAAACTGATAAAGCTAGTTTATTAAAACAATCAACAGAATTTGTTTTCTTCCACATTTCGTTACATTTAATACTTCCGCACTATGCTTTATATAAATATGGAGTATATCATAATAAAACGTTATCAAAATTATCATCATCTTGCAAAAGAATGTCTTAATTGTCTGAAAATTTCGGATCATAAATTTAAAATTGTTCGGTTGAAGAAATTTTTTCAAATGTTACCTATCATTTCTTTTTTGCTTTACCTTTTGTTATTTCTACTTTACTTTCATTGATGTAAACATATCTAAATGCACAAATGATATGATATCATTTTAATTATTTGCAATTGCGCATATGCTTCTTTAGCATTACAGGTGTACAGGTATGAGAGCATGAGAGGTTGACAAGTTCATGATAGCATATCACCGTATTTCTCTTGATTGTTACCTTGTTTTCTTTTATTATGTATAGAATGTCAAAGGACGAAATATTTCATGTGTTCGAAAGTCAAGATGTGTATTATATTTCTTTCATAACTTATCACATATAATACATATTGAAATTTTGATTATATCAATCTGTTTCTAAATATAGCAATATTTCTGTATTATTCCATATCAGTTAATTATATCATTTTGTCGAATATGAAATCACATATAAATATCTTCAAGTGTGACTTTTTACGCCTTCTATCGATGCTTTATTTTCTGTTGAACTTCAGCAATATATGTGTCGAGATAACCTGTATAATAAGCTATTGTAAGGCCTACTATAATAGCCAGAAATAGTAGGACCAAGAAGTTCATCTTCCTGAAATTTGCACACCACCAGCCAACTCCTGTTAAAAAAAATAACAATGATTATTTAACACTTTAATTTTGTTTTATAAAATATTTTCAATCGTATCTGATGCAAATGAACTTGCCAAAAAGATGGATCAATATGAGTCACACTTCCATTATCCTTCTCATAAGTTAAACTATAAGTCTATAAGATTAGTAATTAATTAGCGATAGCTAAATCTTTTTTCCATTTGGATTGCGTACAAGTAATTGCGAAAAGATTTTTAAAAATTTTTTGTTTTTATAATTTCAAACTTTTTGCTGAATATATTGATTAAAATTCTGATCGAATTATTCATAATTCATTTATTAGATATAGCAATAAAATACCTTTCTAACAATAAGATTATGCAATGGTTAATTTAAATCGATTCATATTATCAGCTATTCCAAACATTAATAAACTTTATCCGTAATTTACTTCTAGGCTAAACTAATAATAGTGTATATTTGATATCATATAAACTTTTTAACACCACATTCAATAATTATCAATTATGGTCATCAAAAAATATATATTATTGATCAGAAAATGGTTTGTTTTCTTATCAGAAATGATCATTTATTGCAAATGATTGTTTTTTTATCAGAGATAATCATTTATCAGAAATGATGGTTATTTTTTTAAATTATTTCAGCTGATTGATTATTTGATTATTTCTCTATTGATCTACTGGAAGCGGTTGAAAAAAATGCACTGATCGATTGAAATGCATTTGAAACACTTTTATGCCATATCAGTTGTGATTGGTTTTTTTGCTCAGATAAAACTTACATAATATTCGATCAGTAAGATATCAAAAATAGTTCAATTCTTCATCAGACAATTATCAATAATGTGCAACAATCGATTAATATATGATATTTATTTGTTTTCAAAATGATTTCAAAAATGATAAATGTTAAAAAAAATTCAACCTATTATATGTATATGTATAGCAAGAAATGAAACAATGACAAATTTTTAATGAAATTTGAAGACAAAATTCATTTGAGGTATTTGAGGAAAAAAAAGAGAAGTAAGATGATTAAATGAATTTGGAATGAGAGGAACATTGATAACAGCATCCGAAAATTGATGGATCTGGAATGAAAGGAACATTGATAACAGCATCCGAAAATTGATGGATCTGGAATGAGAGAAACATTGATAACAGCATCCGAAAATTGATGGATCTGGAATGAGTGGAACATTGATAACAGCATCCGAATATATTAAAACTATTGCATCAGGAATAGAATTGAATAAGGGAATGATATTTATATGAAAAATTTAGGTATAATAACGTATATATTTATTCGATTAACGTTAACTTCCTTTTTACATTTACTATAATTACTTGTAAGAAATAATTATAGTAAATGTAAAAATAAAAGTTAAGCATAATAGATTGGTCTTTGATTGTAGAATGCTTTGCATTGTATACATGTGGCAATTAAGGCAAGGGATTCGATAATTAGTAAAACGCCAAAACACATCATGAGCAATCTTCCGGATGATTCGAAATGATCCGCTATTGCCGTAAAACAATCAGTCTAAAATCAGATATTTGAAAATAACATCTTTAAAAGAAATAACAATCATTTTCATTTACATCAGTAATAAATTAAACTATGTAAATTAATAGCAATTAATATGTCAGTTGGAAAGATTATTCGTTTAGCGAAAATGTTAAATTTAATTCTCACTTTCACTGTTACTTTCACTATTCTATTTATATTATGTTTGTTACCCGATACTCTTTTGAGCACTATGAAAATGATTCGGTATAAAATTCATGAAACTTAAAAACTTTCCCAATATTATATCAATATTTCTAATCTAATTTTTTCCATCAAAGCTATCATATATGAAGAGAAACCTTCAATTAGACTTCTTATTTTTGCAAATTAATTAATTTAATTCTTGAAAAAGAATTAATATTTGCATATCATAGCATATTAATAAATCTTTTACATCTCAACTTTTCTTATCACTACCATTTTGTGCAGAAATTTTAATCAGTAAAATATAATCCCTTCCCAAAAATTTTTCTATTCTTTTAATAAGGGAAATATCGTAGAATTTTTGAAGAAAGCTTAAGATATACTTTTAAAAAAGAGAGAGAAAAAAACAAACCTTATTGCGCAATTCTTCCTCACATAAGTTATTTTCTATATATCGATTCATTGTTTCTCTTGTTGCACCACAACAATCGAAGGAAAATTGCAAGGGTTTCAACTTTTGCAATTCTTCGTCTTCTGCGCTACCAACTTCTGTTAGTGACTCCTGAAATAGAAAATGTAGCAAAATGTCAAATGATAATCGATCAAAAGCACTTTCAACATACAAGCAATAATCCTTGTTATCCTCATTAGATTTTTCAACAAGTTGTTTTAATGCTGATAATCTTAGCTATTACAATGTATATTTGAAAGTGATAAGTTCAAATCTAAAATTACAACAACTTCAAAAGTAATTAATTGATAAGATAAGGAAGAAAATGGTAAAAGTATTGTTTACTAATGATCTTATCGATAGATAGATTAAAATCAGTGATTATGAGTCTATTCAATGAAATAATATTCGAAACCGAAATGCAATGTTGAAACTGAACCATCAATATCAGGTGCTTTTATGCTTAACATCGGATAAGATCGGATGTAAGAATAACTTTTGACAACAAACAGGACTAATTATATTATGCCGAGACTATATACTATACAAACTATATCGGAAGCAATACAACAATAATGTTCTTACTCAAACATATGCTATTTTAGAGAATTTGTCAACAAGATGTTAAACATTACAATTCAAAAAGTGCTTAAAATGAAGCTCATAAAATTTCAACTTAACGCTTAACATTTTCTTCTTCATTATTTTTAATGGTAAGAAATGCTCGAACACCCGAAAATTACTGAATGGCAAAATTTATTTCTTCCAACCACTATTAATCTTATCGTGGTCTAAATACGCTTAGAAGAGGTCGATCCCTCATTTAGATTTAAGCTATACTACAACTTGAGCAATTTGATTACACTAAAATGCTACTTCAACGATTGTGTTATTTTCAGTAGTATACCTATATATGCCTGAAATGCCTGACTGATGTTTAAACATTTGATAATTCCAGAAAATAATAGTTTCTTTAATGACATGCTGAAGTAATTTAATTTCTGCTAAACTTTTCATGCTTGCTTTTTGCTAACTTGGATAAATCCATTATAATATAGTTTTATATTTCAATCTATAGTTTTTGTCGTTGTTATTATCATCATTCTAATAATATCTATGTTTGTTAAAACATTAATCTCAATAGCCTAATAAAAGATAAATCCAAAAAAAAGTCATTATAATTAATCTTTCAAATCCTTATCTATCCATATAATTTATTAATAATATATTACTTTTAAAAACTTTCAATTGTTTTAAAAATTAGGCAAATTAATTAAGCAAAAAAAATTAAGCAAATTAATTTATCATAATTTTTATTTAAAAATGATAAAAGTGAAAATGACAATCATTTTTACGGGGGTAAAATAAATTTAAAATCAAAAAGTTCAAGTTTAAATTCACATTTTTTAAAATAAAATAAATTTTTACTTTTTTCCCAATAAATTATATTTATTATTTTTTCGTATCAAAACTTCAAAAGTATTTTTAGGAATAGAATGAATTTAATTAGTAAATTAAAAAGTTTATTTAAATTGAGAAATTTTTTTTAATAAAATAAAACAAAGAAAAAGATAAGTGTTAAAAGGGTAGAAATAAACTTACATATAAAAGAGTTTTAAGTTCGTCCTTAGTAGTTATTACATATATTACTGCGACAACTTCGACTACAGTAGTAACTAGTACAATGATGAAGAACTGAAAGAGAACTTTTTCTTCATTTAAAATTAAATAATTAAAAAGTAATATAAAATGTATATACACAAAAAAAATGAAAGATTTCAGGATCATAGCACAAAACAAGCATTATAGCATAATTAAGGCTTTCATTTGCTTTTATTTTAGATAATTGAATTAAAATTTTGAAATTAATTTTATCATACTTGCAATTATCTTTTGTTTTTGCTAAACAAAAATTCAATTAAAATTATTGATTAAAGATAAGAAATGAAGCGTTGAGCAGAAAACTGTAAAAACAAAAACAAATGCAAGTTACAGTTTTTAATTAGTATAAATGCTGTATAGTAAATTTTGACTAGACCTCGTAAAAATAAATATCTCAACTCCTGATAACTTACCAGAGTTAACATTGTAATATTTTCAAATATCGCACCACAACAACCAAGAAAACCAACGAGAAACAAGAATGCACCAATAGTTACCATTATCCATAATGATGCATGATACTGAAATGAAATAATACAAAATCCCCTGTTGCAAAAGCAATCGCTTTCTTTCTATTTGAGTTTCTAAATTAATTAATTAAAAATTTAAATTAATTAATTTAAATTTTCGACAATACCTAAAGCTTCCATTTTTTCAAACGATAACTGAAAATTGATAAAATATTATGAATTATACAAAAATTAAAACTTAAAATTTCATATTATAATTAATTTAAAATTTGAAAGAATTTGAATATGAACAAATTTATTAGTGATTAAAATTTACTTGATGTAATCCGTTTGTTTCATTTATTTTATGCGCAAAATTTTCATCCAAATTAGCCAATAATGAGACGGCAAAAATAATTGTACCAAGCAAACAAATCAATAAATTTGAAGTGAAAAATAAAACTTTCACTGTTCGATTGCAACAACCGTAAACCATATCTGGATGGATTATCTGGAAGTTTTGGAATATCGATTGATCGATCGATGTGAATACTATCATTTCCAGAACGTTTAATATTTGTTTTTACATTAAAAAAAATTGAAGAAAAAGTGAAATTAAATGAAAGCAAACATCTACGGTGATTCTATTTCTTGATAATGATTCCTTTATTGGATATCTGAAAACTTTGAAACGATGCCAATTCTTCACAGTAAACAATAATTGATACTAAATTTTAATCAATCAATTAATTTTAATTAATTAATCAATTCAAAATAATTGCTAATGATTGAATGCATTTTCTCACAACGGATGTTGCAATTTGCAACATTTAATCATTGTTTGATAATTCCAGTTTTACAATATAGACGTATTCTCGAAATCGATTATCATTTAATGATAAATATATACTTTTGTTATACTCTGTGGTACTAATATGAAATTTAATTTCATATTTTAATCTATTATTTGAGCACGATGAAAATCACAGCGATTAATAATAAGAATATTCAACAATGTAACAACAATTAAAAATTGAAATCGTTATATGAATTTAATCTAATTTAATTATAACATAAATTTAACATTACTGAATTTAATTATAATATGAATTTAATTTAGCATAAATTTAATTAAATTAATTATAAGTTATATAAATTACCGAATCTAACATTACTGAACGGAAAAATTCTCTCACAGCGATTGAAATAACTAGTGATAAGCGAAATTACATGCATCTAAAGTTTTATTGGGAGATATATTATACTGGGAAAAGTTAAGATTAAGTCTCTCTTTTCATATATCAATTATATCGGTCAAAAAATGGTCCAAAAATGTCAAAATGACCTTAAAAACGCGCCTAAATCAATAAAAGGTCAAATACAAATAAATGAGCTACTTATTGATATAACAGAAAATAAGTCACAAAATGATATTATTATTAATTAAAATATATTCCATAATCAAAAACTTATTGATATTATTATTAATTAATTCAAAAACTTATTGATATTATTAATTAATTAATTAAAATATATTCCATAATCAAAGATGAAAAAAATACATTTGGAAATCTTCAAATACTTTCCTTAAAAAAAATTTCATGAATTTAATTCACAGGTGTATCATAAATAAGATTTTAAGTGTTCAATGAAAAGGATGAAATTATTTAGTCTCAAACTAAATTACTTCTAATATTACCTGTAAGATATATTGATATTCCGGATAATAGGATGAAAGTTAAAATAGTTCTTTCCTACTCTTTTCCAACAATCTATTCCCATTTAGACCTTCAAATATATTCGAATAATAATTGTGATATTATAAATGATAACAAAGATAAGAAATGAATAGGAAAAATGTATTGTCAAACAAATATTCTAAAATAGTTAAGAAATGATAAATTACAACAAAATCAAAGCACAAAGATTGAGAGTATTGTTGTAGTGAAAGAAATTACATTGAAATTATTATCATTTCATTGTTATAATATCATTTGAAATTGAAAGCTTAAAAAGTTTTTTATGAGGGAAAATTATCATTGTTAATTCCTTTTTATCATACCAATAAAACATTAAAGATTATTTCAACGGGAAAAGAAGAAGATATTGCCGTTACAATTCAATTTCCTTTTAAATCTAAATTTTTCATTATATTGTGATTTTTAATTTCATTATATAGCATTCCTTGCTATATATTATTAAAACGTATAGATATCATTAATTAATTGTTAATTAGCTTTTTTTAAATTAATAAGCTACACCTGGTTTGCTCGGATTAATAAATGAAGTTTTCTTTTAAAGATATCATTAATTAAGCTGTAGATGTTAATGAGAATCTGAAGAACAGTAAAACAATACTGTGAACATCTTAAAATTATAAATAGAAATGAAATTAACACAAATGTAAATATTGTAAAGAAAGAAAGAAAGGAAAATGACACCAACCATTTGTGGTTTGGTTTATAAAGTACAACAAATTAAAATCACTTTTTTTCATTTAAAAGAATTTAGTCATATTTCAACAATTTTTCGTTTAAAAAAATAAAGGTCAAAAGATCGTATGAGCAATAAACTTTCAAAATAAACGTATGAGCTTTCAAAACATTCTTTCTTCGAGGAAAATACACAAACATACAAACCGCATACACACACACACACACACACACACACATACAAATATACACACAAACACACACATACATACACATACACATATACATATATAAACTTACACATACACACACATGCACACTACATATACATATATATACGCAAAACACACACATACACGCACTATATATACATTCGAACATACGAAAAATGCACACACATCGCACACACACACAAATACACACACATACATAAACATATATACACACATACATACGCACACATACACACATGCACACACATACACACACAATATACAAACGTACATGCACACACCGCACACACGCACACACACACACACACACACATATAAATATTTATACACATACACATACATACACATATGTATATACACAATTGCGCCGCGCACAATAATTGAGCATAAAGAAATTGGAAATTTTCGTGCTCAATTCATCAAAAATAGAAATTTTGTAGTTGGCAGTATTAAATTTTTGCACATATTTTAGGGATTTCATCGAATAATTTCTATAATTACTGATTAATTTTAGGATATAATTAAGGAAAAAAAAAACAATACCTTTCATTTTAATTTTGTCTATTTCTCTTAATTACAAACATTTGATAATATCTAGTTTTCCTTTTTAAACTTTCCATAAATTTTCATTTAAAATCATAGAGAAAATTCCAGTTGCTATAAAAGGACATCAAAATTATTCGGATATTATTGCGAAAGAGATGTAAGAGAGTAAGACGAATTTTGCAGTAAGAAATTATTCCAATTTCATTTCTTATATAACAACACCAACATAATCGTCGAAAAAAAAAGGGTACATGAAATGTATACCGGAAATATATAAAACAGATGAATAATACAGTATTGTCAATAATAACAGGTCATCATCAATTTAACAAAACGGAAACATGTAAAACAGATGGACAAAGAGTATTTTCAATAGCGATCGGTCATCATTCATCAATTTGACAAATTAAATTTTAAATGCTTAATTTATTCAAAAATTTCACTCTTCTTTTCAATTGCATCTTTTCAATCTGAATTTTTAGGGCAACATAAATAATGATTAATTACCGTAAAGTACAACAATTTTTTTTAAATACCATAAAAGAGAATTGAATTGAATTTAAAATATCGTCCATTTATGAGTGATATTTTTGAGATATAAAACAAATGAATCATTACAGCGATCTTTTAAAATGCATATTGAAAGAATATCAATGATGTACTTTTTCATGCTAATATCAACACTAAAATTTTTTTGCTAAAAAAGAAAGAGAATAAAAGAATCGAATAGAATCTCTTTTTTAACACGAGATTTTCCTGATAAAGATATTTGATTATCATATCATGTGCATATAAATTATGCACGACAAAGATCAAAGATATTATATTAAAATTTCAATTCTTTTAAAAAACAATAACCTAAAAGTAAAGTAAGTAGTTTTAGGCGGAATTTTAAAAGTTTCAAAAACTTTCAAAATAAAATTCAAATATCGATATTTGATTATCATGTCATGTGTATATAAATTATGCACAACAAAGATCAAAGATATTATATTAAAATTTCAATTCTTTTAAAAAACAATAACCTAAAAGTAAAGTAAGTAGTTTTGGGCGGAATTTTAAAACTTCCAGAAACTTTTAAAATAAAATTCAAATAGCGAAATTCAGAGAGCAATTTATGATTGATACATGGAAGAAGTATGATTGTTAGCTAATGAATAAGGTTGTAAGCAAGCTAAAGATTCTACATTTGATACAAATGGTGAGAGAACGGTTGCTAAAGAGGTTAGGCGGATATACATAGCAGAGTATGCTAAACTGTCAACTGCTAGAGGACGCGGGATAATAGAGAGGTATGGGAGAAAGGACACAGGTCGATAATATGTTACTCTTCCTTCTTCTCCCCCGCTTCCTTTCACTTCCTGTCATCGTCCTTTGCTCTACTCTTTTCCACTCTGATAAGATTAAATTCCTCATTCTTCACTGTTCTCTTTCATATATTACACCTATTTTCATTCTCTCTCTTTCTCTCGAAAAATTTTCAAACAAATTGCACACAGTACTCTTTCAGGTAAGATCAAAGGTTAGAATATGTAAATCAGAATTAAAAAGGTCAAAGTATGTAAATCAGAATATAAAGAATAGTAGAGATTGAAAGAAAAAATCTTTTTTGTTAAATTTTAATTTCATATTGAAAACTATCAAATATTTCGGCGACTGATATAAAGCAAATTTTTTTCTCATTTCAAAATTTTTAATCTATCATTTTATTCATTGAAATTTTTCGCCATCTAACAACAATTCAACGTTGAAATGATTCATTAATCGAATTCACTTTCATATACAATAATGCTGAGAAAATATGAATTGTGGTATGTTTGTAAATGGATAATGAATCATTTGATGATAATTGATTTTAGTAATATTTGGTTTTCATTTTTTTTAGCTAACTTAAAATACTTAAATTAACTTAAAATACTTAAAATGATACTTAAAATATTTAAATTAAAAAATGGTATAATTTCATTTCTGAATTATTACATTTTTTCATTTCTGAAACTTATAATAATTCAGAAATGAAATATATTATAAATACTTATAATAATTCAGAAATGAAATATATTATAAATACTTATAATAATTCAGAAATGAAATATACCATTTTTTTCCTCTTCCTTATAAATAACAAAATGGTATATTTCATTTCTGAATTATTATAAATACTTATAAAATGGTATAATTTCATTCCTCAATTATTATAAATACTTATAATTAATAAGTACTTATAATTAGAAAATGGTATATTTCATTTCTGAATTATTAGAAGCATTTATAATAATTCAGAAATGAAATATACCATTTTCTCTTCTTTCTTATAAATAACATTCTGCTATCGTAATAAATAATTAACAACCTAATAATTACTATGAATGGTATATACGTATATATTTATTTACGTTTATTTAATTACGAACAGCGCGAAGAGATCGATTTCATTTTTATATTTTAAGCTTATGAAATGTATAGCTAAAATTAAAATTATGATTAGTAAATTTCATTTTAAGCAGAAATAAAGATAAACGAATTAATTGCTTAGGAGAAATAATTGCCCATTTATAACGAATTAAATATTTACTGAAAATTTTAACCAATTCGAAAAAACCATAGTAAATAGTGCCTCGTACCTAAAATGCTATACTTATTGCTATTGAATTAAATTATGTTTGTGATTAATTTTTATTTTCATATAAATTTATTGCTACTTCTCACTTACTCCTTCACATCTATCATATACAATCTTATCTCAATCCTCTGAATTAAATTATCTTTTCTCCTTTACTACACTTAAATCATCATTATCATCTCTCTTTCTCTCTCTGTCACTCTCTCTCTCTCCACTTAAATGAAGTGATAAAAAGATATGCAATATATCATGACACAATATGATGTATAATTAATTCTTTTTCTTCCTTTCATTTCTCATTTCATCAATGATCAGTATTATTTTGCCATATTTAACATCACACGAATAAAACTATTCTATCATATTGATTTGAAAAATAAAATTTAAATTAAAAATGAAACAATACGATCACTATTAAATATCTCCCCCTCTCTCTCTCTCTCTCTCTCTTATCATCGTCATCATCATCATTATCACAGATATGAAGCATATCGAGATTGCACGATAAAAGTGAACAATTTTAAATTCATGCATATACGTGTGTATGTCTCTACGTTTCTTTTTGTCTGTATTTGTATGTGTGCATGTATGTATGTGTATGTGCATGTATGTATGCGTGTATGTATATGCATGTATGTATATATAATATTACGTATTATATGCAAACATCATGTAAACATTGTGCAAGAGATGGAGTATTGAAAATAAAAGTAAATACAGTTGGGGGACGAGAGGGAAGTGTAGAAAGGTTTATTTCCCAAATATATCTGTGAGGGATTAGATTTGATTAGTTTTTTAACTTTTTATCAGCGAATTATCAGATAAGAATATTGTTGCGATGATTTTATTCTATGTTAATAAGAATGGAAAAAGTCAAAAAGTTTTTTATTATCAATTATTCATATATTCCGAATAAGGCTTTTACGGTGTCTGACAGATTTGATTATATTGTATTTTGGTTAATTTTTGAATTTAAGCCGATATATGTTATCATAATGTCCTCAAATCTACATCTCTGAATTAGAATATTACAGGTATGATCACAATGGATAATACATTTCAGGATTCTGTATGGCGGTAACATCAACATCAATGGAAGAGCAACAACAATTGCTAGAAGGAATCGTAACATATTGTGATGATCGTTTAGCACGGATATGGATTGAGGTTGTAAAATGTGAGAAAGAAATAAATTTTGCGTATCGATCAAGGCATTTCAATCTTGGCGATTGGTTATCAGTGTCACTAACAACCGACGAAGTTCATAAAATCACTCCTCTCCTAGAAACTCGAGTTCTTAAAATTGGTGTTACACAGGTGGCTTTTATTTTAGATTTCGTTGCATTGTTGCTCGAATTTTAGTGTGGTGATACTCTTGGTTTCCATTTTCAAACACAGTTATGCAGGAAGCTATCATTCATGAACTGTCTTTTATTTTCACTTCAAATTCTCCATTTTGGCTGTATAATGCAAAAAAAATCTCCAAAACTCTCTTATTTTAATTACTTACCCGATAACTTTGAGATTATAGATGGTATTTTTGTGTGATACTATTCTTAATCTTTGTGTGATACCATTTTTAACATCGTATTATGACCCTTATTTTCTTCAGAACTTTATTTCCATTTCTCATTGAATGTAATTATTTTGCCTGTAATATTAGTATTACTTTTGTAACTTAACGCTCAAATGGGGTTTTCTTATCTTCGAAATTTAACATTTGGAGCTTATCTTTATTTAGGTCAGAACCGAAGTGATATTCAGACACTGTGATGAAAAGATTGGTCACGGTACTATTATCCAGTCAAAGCACTTCAATCGTGTGGCTGTATTTACACCGTTCACTGGGATTATTAGAGATCGAATCTATAGAGTTTACGTGGAGAGGTTTTTTCTATTTTTTTTTGCTTAAAATAGAATAAAGTTTTACATGAAGACACTATTAAAACTGAATTTCAAAGCTGCTTTCGTTCGTTTTTTAGTACACTTTATGCTTGCCGTATCCAAATTTGTAAACTGTGACAATTTCTATAGTCCTTTTACACGTTTATTTCATTTACAATTCATAAGATCAACGAAATAGTATTTCGCTGATGATTAATTTATGATTCTCATGTTTGCAAAGCATTTTATAGAGATGGAAAGGAGTTGTTCTTTTAGAATTCCACGAGATCAGCAGTGGAATGAGCAGGAAAGTGGTACGTACTGGTTTGTTCCATCCAATCAAATCCCTGAACTTGTTCCAATCAGTAAACATCCGGCGAATGATATGCAAGTAAAAATATTTTATTTGTATGGAAGTTTAAGAAGTTAACTCTTTATGAATTATGAGTTTAAAGGATCTTTATAGATGACTTGTTTTTCTTAATTAAGCTGCTGTATTAATCTTTTTTATCGATAACGTTGGACTTCTCCAGAAATAACTCTTGTTTGCGTCATTCGCATTTGTCTTCATCTTTCTAATCACGTCATATCATATTGAGAAAGGTTTTGAAAAATGCATTTATTTCCCAATATATACAGATATTTATGTATTACTATATTATATCTTATTCTCTCACTTCATTATTTTACAAAATATTGGTTATTTATCTATGACGATAACATATCACATTTCATGCGAACTTCACAAGAGACATATACCCAATAATGCTAAATCAAAATTCTGAGTTTCCTTCGTGCAAAATAACAGAAGATTTTTTACAGCTTATAGGCCCTCTAGTGGGTGTAGTGGTTAGTAAAGCCAAAAAATTCGCATTTGTTTGGACATCAGTACTCGGAGAGGGAATTTGTGAAAATCATGGAAATTTGATGATTGGAGGATGGATTAAATTCATGGCCGAGTAAGTTGATAGTTTTATTTTTCATCTTTTTAATTACATATTCTCAGAAAGAGGATTAAGTTTCAAATATCCCACCTCTCGGAACTAGGATTGTTGATGCTAGAGCCCATTAATGTTCACTTGTTTATTTTGGAGTTCCACTTCATCTTTTCTGAAACTTCTAGCATTTTCCTTTGATACCATTTAACTGCTTCGAAAAGGTTCTGCAAAGGTAACTTTAGTTGATTTATTAGCTTGCATAGTTTTTTAGCCGTCTTATAGCAAAGTTTGTTCTAGTCCGCATCTTAAAAATTATTTCAATATGAATATCAATTTTCGTATTATCGAGTGGACGATGGCAGATCCCATCTTAAGATGTGTACCTCTATCCAATAATCTAATGGTTCGCCTAAATAAATTCATCTGGTTAAAGCTTCTTTTTATGTCTGAAACATCCTTTTAATAACAATTTACATTGTTGAAGGTATTTGTTAGATGCATTGTCGTGCGCTAATTTGTCTTTAATAGCATCGAAAGGCAAGCTAGTTATGATTATATCAATATATACTATCTACTTTATTCCTTACATGTCTGAAGTCAATCAGATAAAATCCAAATTTTCTCAAGTATTTAGAAATTTGAAATCATCTTTGGTGCAAAAAGGGATCGTTATGGCTAGATTTTCTTTTTTTTAAAGGAGTATTATTGAACTTTGTTATAATATCATGGCACTACTGTTCCTTGTAGTATTGTCTTTTTTTCGTTATAGCTTATATCGACTATATTCATCTCTCACTGGCCGATGAATAATTTAATTGCGGATTGGATAGGGCCGGTTACAGATCGAAATCATATGCTAGAAAAAGCAGTATATAGTTTTGGAATTAAGCATACTTATAAAGTAGTGTTAGAGCGTTTAAAAAAAAGTTTGAAAGAACCGATTACTACGTGGAATGTCCGTCAGGTCTTGGTATGTATTTACAGTTCATTAACTTCCGGTTTTCCATTTTACTTTATTCCATTTTGGATTGCATATTGGTCATTTTAATATGGAAAGTTGTCGAATATGCAATCGTTTATATGTTGTACCAATTTTAATTTTAACTTTACATGCAGAATGGAGATCGAAGGAACGGTATTGTTTGCTTCGTCGATATCCAGAAATCGTTGGCATTAGTTTATATTCAAGATGCAAACCATGGGAACGGCCGAATGTTATACGTTGATTTAAAAATGTTAATTTTTTGTTCTTATGAGGATTAAAGACCCATTAATTTATTGTTAGACTGCAGCAGTGTTACGCTCATGTACGTTTTGGAATGCTCAAATTTCACTTCTTCAGTTTCGTATGAGAATTACAGATTTGAAGCAGTTCCAGCACTTGGAGATTGGTTCAATTTCGAAATATATGAAAATAGTCAATTCTGGAGAGTGTTAAGTGCTGTGAAATCCAAGAAATTATGCATCTCTCATATAATTGACAATCAATTAGAAGTATGATATGTTTGCTTGTTTTTCTGTCATATATTGGAACCTTAATAAAAAAATCAGCGGATAGAAAGGAGGTTAATTGGTTGACATCCGAATTTTTTCCTTTCGAGGCTCTTGATCAGCATGCTAACTTTTGAAAAAATTATCTACCGAACACTGAGAAGACATTCTTATTTGATACAATACAGCATGGAGAAAAAAGTGGGGAATAGTAACTTCATGTTTTTGAATTTCAGGTTTTTAATTAGAAAATTTTTAGATTTAAAATTTTAAGGTTGAAACGGAAGTTGTATTAACTGATAAAATCTCAGCGGAAGGTCATCGAGTAATGTTTTCCGTTGTTTTGGGAGCAGTAGCAGATGATGCGAACAGACTATCGAATATTATTTTGAATGCATCACAAAAGTGTACTGTCTGGTGTACAACAACACGAACAACATTTCCAGATGATCCATATTGGAGGATAAGTAATTTCCCCATTTTGCCGGTTAGTATTATTTTATAACAAAGGATTTCTTTCTCTTTCAAATTCAGATTGGCTTGTAAATTTTCTTATGTTATTTTTTGTGTACATTGACAGAAGTTGAAATTTCCATAGCCAAACCATTCTGCTTCGTCCAACCACTTGTGAGTCTGATGGATGTGCTTTGTCATTGTAGGCTTTTTCCATTACACAGAAAAAATTGTTAAGACTTTTGGTAATCCGTACTATCCAGTCCAATAAAAAACTAGCCGATGTGTGATTGTTTCTTTTTATAACGAAAGATTTTTTTCTCTTTCAAATTCAGATTGATTTTGGAAATCTCCTTATGTCATTTTTTGTGCACATTGACAGAAGTTGACGTCTTTCAAAGAATATTCCTGTCCTCTTCAATATTGCTCTTTGAATCACATTTTGTAAATTTAAGTACAGGTGCATAAAAAATATCGAATTACGAATTTCATACTTTGTTGAAGATGAAGAACCGAGCTTTTATCGCAAAACCAAAGCTTAACACAAATGTAGAAGAAATTAATGATGTTTCGTATGTTGGTATCGTCGTTGGTAAGTGCCGAACAAGTTATTTCGTGTGGGCATCTTCACTGGCTGAAATTATGTGCTATTATAAAGATGATTTACGGGTCGGTGATTGGATTCGATTTTGGATTAGGTTAGTTTAAAAATTTGAATCTCCTTTGGCCAAAGTTATCTGTCAAAGTAATCGAGCATTAAGCAGTTTATTTTTAAATTTATTTTGTTCTTATGGACTTGAGGATTTTTTATTTATTAATATATGCATCTACTTTTTTTCCTGTATTCACAATAATGAAACGTTTTTTCATATATTCATAACAGTGAGTAGAACACTTAGCTACTTTCATAAACGAGTTAGTCGGCAGAATCACGAAGCTTATTAATATTGTTAATCCTAAAGCTATGTAATACAATTTTTTTTCCCGCTGTCTTTCTAATTTATATTTTAGGAGGAAACAGGGAGCACATCCGAGTAGAAAACCTTTTTATATAAACAAGTGGCAAAAAATAGATAGTCCTTATTCTACACGTGAAGAAAATAAGACTGTTGTGGTAGAGTGCCATTTAAATTATTGAAAATTTTATTTCAAAAAAGGAAAAAAATTACATTTGGAGCTACACTTTTTGATTCAACCATCTAATAAGAGAAACGATAAATGAAAGGAATATTGTTTTTTCTATTTTTTAAAAAGATTTGATAGCTAAAAAGAGTTGTGCTATAATTACAATTTCAGAAACAATTTTATTTGCTTACAGGTTACGGTAGAATTGACGATACCAAAAAATTATAATAGTCCACAACCACCGTCACTACCTTTTTTTGGTGAAGTCCTCGATAGGAAACATTACTTTGGAGCAAATATCAATGACATACGTGGTCATGTAATCGAGGTGGATATAAAACATATCAGAACTAAGAAAAATGTTTCGAGTTGGGACATCGTCTTTGTTTTCCTGAAGGTGTGTACATCCGAAACTTTTTTTCGTCAATTTGAAGCATCTAAGATTGAAGTTGTTAAAATTGTGATTTAATTATTATGATTTCTCCAAATAATTTGGACATTAATGGCTGATTTCGAATCCGCTTTTATCAAGTATTTGATGCTAAATTATAAGCATTTTAATTTATAGAGGCCTTTGCATAAACAAAAAGAGTCAGTTCATGCAAAAGCTGTAGAAATGATCATTGACCCTGTAAAAATCGATGTTGTCGCCACACCTTCGGTCTGTTGGTTTTTTCTTTGTATGTACTCTTTCATTTTGGATTGATTGTGAGATTGATATTAGAAATAGTTGAAGTTGCAGCTGAAGTGACAATTAATTAAGTACTTTAATTAAGTACTCTAGTAGTTTGTAGTTCCACTGATTTATCCGTTCTTTAACAAATATCATCGGCAGTCTACTTTGTGAAATCCTCTTAATCTCATAGCAAGTTCAATAATGTTAATCCTATGATTTATGAGTGATTTATATCAGCCCACCTTTTTTAATTTGGCCACATTTATTTAATCGAAACAAAAAATGTTTCTCATGTTAAATCAGAGCATGTTTTCGAATTTCGATTTTCACTACCAGTTTCCACTTTTGATTAAAGATTGAAATTTCTTTTGCAGTCAATATTTAGCTTGGTTTGTTATTTTTTCACGTTGATTTCAGAATGCTTCAACTAGCAGTATATCCACTCAAAATAGAACAGCGTTTTTTACTGTTGATCGATCACTTCCTCCAGGTAAATCAAATACTGTTGAATACAGCTGTTCCAATTTCGAGCCGAGGGATTATAAAAACCATTCTTCGACGACTTATAGCGAGAAAAAAAAGGAGCACGATAAGGATTACCACGGTAGAAGCGGTTCCCAAAAGGTATTTGTACATATTTTTTTACTTAAGATGCATGTCACTAGTTATTTTACTGGTATGAAGTTGTATTTAAAGCGTTTATCAAGTTTAAATCTCATTTCAAAGATGATGATGACTTTTGATGAAAACTGCAGTCCAAATTTGGTTATCATTCTTAACTCATGTATATTATTCTCATCACTTGAAGTAAATAATAATAAATACATGGAAGTGTTTGATGATTTATTGCATTTCAATTCATTCTTTAATATAAAATAGTTCCCTACTCCTGCAGCTCCTTTATCTTCTTTTCTTCATTTAAATAATCTTTTAACCTTCTAATAATTAATCTTCTTCATCTAATTATACAATTTTTAGATTCTTACGAATCCTTGAAAACTAAAGTTTTGCTTCAATTGTAGAAACACTTTAAAATTATGTTGTTTTAAATTCAATCTTTGTGAGTTTTTTAGGACGATCTTGAGCTTGATCCGGTGATTTGTTCTATGAAACTTTTATTGATGTCAAAAGAGGTGCAGGAAGCGATAAAAACGAATTGCGCAGAGGAATACACAGCACTCCGCCAGTACTTTGATCTTATGGCGTAATGTACTACACGCTACGTTCCATACGCCCACTGACTCCGACTTTGTTTCCAGAAAAATTATTATCTCCCATTTCGTTAAAATTGAAAAATTCACTTGTTCATTATTTGTTTCAGGACTGTTCTTTGCTTTATTTGTTGGATACAGAATTTTTATCCCTTGAATTTTATCTGTAAAGAATAATTCATTTTGGCGATCTCATTCTAAAAGATGGCTGACATTATTACCTTTACTTTTGCATCATTAATGTAACATGAACAGAAAATATGGGAAGAAATGGAAACATCTCCAAAGATACCAGGAAGACACCAGCCTAGGCCCACCGGTCTGGGCGTTGTTTAACAAGTGTAGTATCCCAACAGATGACACTAAGTTTTGCAGCCAAACACATTACTAGCTGTTAAGTCTTAAAATGTCTCAGAAGAGATCCGCTAAATAACGTCAACTTAGAGAGGTTCACACGGAGTTTCGACAACCAACTTTTCATTGTTCACTTTTTTTGTCCAAATAATGCATGGTCAAAAAACCTGTTTCTCCACGCCATAGTGGGATTGAAACCAAAACGATTTTAGCAACAAGACCACTTTGTTTGTTCAGATACCGTCACATTATAGAGAAATCACCGCGGTCTGGGTATTTGTTACTTGTTATTCTCGCCGCTCGGATTCAGGAAGTGCAAAGAAGTCAGTGAATTTGCGAACAAATTTTATAAATCCGATTATTCTGCCTCAACACGGGAACAATTTTATCGTTTCAAAACCCATAAAACTCAATTCTTTTGTTGATTCTTTCTCATATAGTTTGGGTGAAAAAGAACACAGGAACACAAATTCAGTATTGAGCAAGATTAAAGACTAAAGATTAATGATAGGAGTACAGATTAGTGAGAAAATAAATCACCATAAGTACTAAGTGGAAAAGAAAAGTAGACAAAGGATGAATGTCATAGATAGTATTATGATGATATAAAATAATGGAAAAATCTCAGTACTTGAAAAGAACTCTGCTATGTCGGGAAAATTCAGTATATAAGGAAACAGAGGGTAACTTCTAATGAAAATAACAATCTTCAAAACATCAAACATCTTTCATGATGGGGAGTTAATAATCTAGATATCGTCAATATCAACATCTGCATCATCATCCTCAGTCTTGATCGTTTCAATCTGTGTAGTGCCGTTCGTCTTTTTTGTCGCATCCATTTCAACTGTTCCCAATTTTCGGGCACGATCGTCAAACTGTAGGAACCATGAGATTTGGAATTAGAAATCACAAACTACAGAGAACCACAGCTTGAATCTCAGTTATCTCTAATTTTAAAATTGAATGGTTTACAATAGACTTGAGGCAATGTTCACCTAAATACCGACTAATATTTTTTCTGTCCTACATTCCTTGACCAACATCAATCAGTTTGATAATATATCAAGTTGTTCATGTAAGTCAAGAAGAACAGGCGTACTACGACAAGAAAGCTTGACACAGGTAGACACACTTTTTTTTGATACACCCCAGATAGTGATTGGCACGAAAATCACAAGGAGAACAGGAAATGGAGAATGGTGAACATATTACGACGCAAACTGAACCTTTGCATCCTCCTTTACAAACAACAAAAGTAAAATATTTCAATATTATTTTCTCTGGGATCTGAAGCAGTGAATTAAAGATTTTTCGAAACGAAAGGATTATGATTTTAAACTATACCTCAATAGCACCGTCTTCATCGTCCTCATTGTCGCTTTCATCTTCCTCTGCATTTTTCAACCAGTCCAAAACAGGTTGCGCCTTATTGATTATCTCAGCACAGAGTTTCTTCTTAACGTATTTCTTGCTCGGCTAAAAGGGTGTCTCCGTTACTTCTTTTAAATTGGATTTTTAACAGATCGAGGTTTTAGAACCTTGCAAACATACCTTTTCACCCCAGGCAAGAAGAACTTCCTCTTCCACTACATCGGTGTCATAAAGCGCTTTAATGATGTGGGCTGATTTTGGAAACAAAGTGTCGAAATATTTCGAAATAAGTTGTTCAATGCCACCTAGAAGATGACGCTGCGCCTAAAGTTAAAAGTTGATTTAGGAATCCAGAAAAAACTGGTTTCAATTTTTCAATTTCAATTTGCAAAAAATGATAAACATAAATTCGAGAACAGTAAGCAATTTTAAAAAAGTGACACAGACCTTGTGGTCGTTAACAGTAAAACGAAGAAGGATGTTCCGATATTCCAGAATTTGACTAACGACGTTTGTATCAAATAAAACATCGGCCAACAAAAGGGTGGCCTTTGATTTCAGCTCCAGTCTTTCAGCCTCATCTAGCAATTTTTTACTATTCTGGAACATACACCTTTCTATACACCTTTTTATATAAGTTTTCAACTATAAAAAAACAAAATAATTTAAGAGTTAACTTGGTACTGTTAATTTTAACAAAATAGTTTAAATCTGGTGCAGCGCCTACGAGAATATTCGTGCTCACACAATCCTAGCGAATAATTCTCGCAAAAAAATTAGTACCTCAATCTTCACAAAGAGAAAACACTTGGTTACCTGAAAAGTGCCATCGGCTTTAGCTTTCAGGAAATACTGGTGAAGCATATCAAGCCGCTCCTCGATAGGTTTGTCGAGATCTTTGCTAATTATCAGTTTGCCAATTTGAGCAGAAACTCCTCCAACTGGATCATCAATTGGCTCTGCCCAATCGTCATCAACATTATCCGATGCACTTCCATTCTAAAAGATCACTGTAATAAAAAGAGCATAATAAAACTCTACATGAGAACAAAGTTGAATATACCGAAATTTTAAATTTCCAACAAGTTCATTTACCAAATCTTTATCACTAGCGATTTCTCCATCTATTACCGAATTTTCTGTCGAACCACCATTACCACCTTCTTTCTTTTCCTTCTCATCCACTTTCGGTGGATTTTTCATGATAAACGTCGACAGCTTATGCTTGGGATCAATAATTGAGGTATTTCCACAAGCTTTGCATTTACTATGGATCTGGCCCTTCTTTACAACCTGGAAATCGAATTTCTAAACAATAGTTAAATAAATGCTTTTGGAAAAGAGTTAAATCACGAGAATAAGCTGAGCAGTAACAACAAATAATTCACCAAAGTGGTTTCAGGATTTTCACAAGCTGCACACAACACAAACTTCCTGATAAAGCCATCGAGAATATCTTGCAGTTTGGCCGCGTCATGTTCGCCATTAACGATAAAACGTTCATTTTTCATATCGAAATTGGTTTGCGCACCCAATTCGCACCCAAAATATTTGGTTGGGTCTACAATAACACCGACAATGCGATATATGGAATGATTTGACTGTATTTTTTCGCTGACAATTAAAAATCATAGTGACCGTTCGAAAACGAATAATGTACAAAATTAAGTTTCATCTCGGTATTATATGATTTATATTTCTGCTACTCCAAATGTTAAACAGCATACTGAACTAAAAAGTAATCCAATATAATCAAGTTAGATGAGATATATATAAAATGATTTAAAACACAATTATATGTAACGAAGTACTTACAAGTTGGTGGACGCTCAAGGGCTTTGGCAATCTCGGTCATGTTTGCAATGACTGTTTTGATTCCGTTGCCTTTGCCTTCGACCTGCAGAATATCAACAATAACCCGAGAAAACTAAAAAACCAAAAACAAAAAGCAACACACATACAACCTTTATATTGGTTGAGTGATGAATAACCTTGGCTTGTAGACGGGGCATTTTGTAACGATAAAAGGGATCGAGCACGTTGCGGTTGATATTGATCGCCATTTCCGTTCAATTTTACGATAAATAAACTCCGAGAAAAACCTACAAAATGATTGGAGTGATTTAGCAATCTAGGTTAAAAATCTCCAATTAAATTTACCCAAAAAACTTTTTTAATTTTTCTTACTTGAGAAATAAAAAAACTTGAAAAATTCTTTCTTCCTTTATCAATTATAAGTTCTATGGAATCCAATATCACAATACCATAACTATAAAAGTTAATAAGTTCATTTGTAATCCAAAAAACACCAAAATTGTATGCTACAAGTGCATTTATTCCAAATTAAAGTTTTTGCATCATTTTCTGGTTCATGAACGATTTTACCGTAACAGTTGCCACTTTTGAAACGCCCTTTTAACTGAGTGTCCACGATCAGCAAGAGCGGATGACACCGCATCAATTTCAATAAGCGGATCTTGGAAGACAGGATTGATGCTGCCGTATAGTCTTGCAAGTATAAGTAGGCAAAAAAAGTCACACAATGAAGTGATGAGTTTCTCAAATGTGGCAGCGACTCGAAAGTACAACCGTTCACGACTAAACTAAGTAATCAAATAGCTTTACTTCTCTCGTTATTCGACCTTTCGTATTTTTAATGTTTTAAGGAAAAATAGTACGTTCATGCAATTCTTGAATCATACAAACTCTGCTCACAAAGGTATTGATTATCTCCCCAATATATTATTCATTCATGGTTTTCAATGAAGTAAACGTTTAATAAAAGCAATGGTCAAAAGTAACCATGAGCATTCTAGCTCAATAAGCATATTCTTTACATCAGCAACTCAGTCAAAATGCCACATTGAACGACTTCGTTACCAATGAAGCGCTCATGGAACATACAGAATGAATGAAATCAGCAAAAAAAATCCTTACGGACCAAGTCATAGCCTGCCAAAATATGTAGCTATGTAGCCCCATAGCTACATATTTTGGCAGAGCTATGACTTGGTCCGCAAGGATCCAGAATCAACTCCATAAGGAATCATCCATTATATCAATTATATTTTTCTCAAGTACATGATGTAACATACCAGTACTGGAGTCAACGTTAGGAGAAAATTTTGACGTGGAAGCGATTAGGCCACTGCTTGTGCACTGCGTATCCTCCAAATGGCATACGTGAATAAGGGCAAACAAGCAACGCGATTCTTCGCCACACGACTCTTCAAAAGTCTCCTTCAGTTTCTTTCGTTTTCGCGACAACCTCCCTGAAAATAAAAAAATTCATCCTTCAATCACATCTAGAGAAAATTGAATAATAAAGACTTTCCCAAACCTTTAAAATGAACCAAAATCTAGGAAAACAAAATTGTTTTTCCGAAAATTTCACAAAATACTGCCGATATTTTTCACCCACTGTTTGGGAAAAATAAATTTGGAATTTTGAAAAGTAAACCGTTCAAGAACACTTCAAAAAAGTGTAAAAAATGTTTACCTTCCTGAGGGTTGTCAACCATAAAATCACAAATGCTAAAGTTATTGTTGGGGTGTAAAAACATGCAACTGTTCGAAGCCAACGACTTACTGTTCTTCTGAGGATGTGCACAAGAATTCCTGCAAATCTTTGATTGCATTCTTACCAAACAAAAACAAAATGAACGGATGAGATGGAGCAGAGTTAACGACAAAAATGAATGAGATAAAAAAACATTTGCGAGCATTACGAATATCATTATATCATCAGTTCATCTTGAAAGAGTTTGTTTTCTGCAGTTGTTGTAAGTTACCGTGAATGATAGAAAGAAGATTAGCAAGATGAACGGAATGATGGAAGGAAAATTGATCCTGATATACTGACACACATCCAAGCAGCCATCCTAATACAAACGCCCATTTCAACAACCCCACACATGTACATTGCCTCCCTTCCTCTTTTCTAGTCCTTTGAAATGGTTTCCATTTGAAAATTAGGGAAAAATAATCGATAAATGATAGGGATTCAGGAACATAGAGAAAGCGAGAATGCAGAGACGGCAGACAAGCAAAGAATTTTCGAAAATGCCAGATTCTATCAGTCACTAAATTGACGAAAAAACCTATACGAACTAAGACTCTTAACTATCCCGAAATATTTCATAAATTATATTCTAAATTGTCTAAGGCATATCTTTTATGGGTCACAATAATAAATCCATTTAATATTTGAATATTATATAAGGAATGATTCTATAGCAAAATGAATAATGATATGTGGAAATCAAATTATCGAGCAGGTGAACTCTATTCTAACAATCATGCCTTCATTGGCCTATGGTTGTCTTTTCAAAGTTTTGCTAGAAGGCATGATTGTAGCTAACAGCTGTTAAGGCAAAACCTACCTGATGATACCAAACATTGAGAGATTTATCTCATTATATACGAATACAATTAAACCTTTCACCATCATCATCTCCTCCTTTCATTCTACCACTCCCTACTAACGTATCTATTTTGATAAGATTTATCCTATCAGTGCGTAACAAGAACTTGTCTTATCATTCTTCTCTACACACATTTAACTTCATTTCACAACAAAAGAATGTCCCACTTCAGATATTATCCCCTTCGTAGTGTAACAATATATCCTGATGATTTATAGAAATTATGCCTGCATTGGCCTATAGGTAGTCTCTATAAAGTATTGACCGTAGTTTAACAGTAATACCTGCAATAAAAGTCAAAGCATGTTCAAGCATGTTTAAAAACGTGTCGAAATTTCATATCAACGTAAAATATACTATATCTAGATGAGATAAGGTTAGAAGCAATGGATGGATTAGATTATTAACTAGCCTACGTTACTTTCATATAATACAGAACTTCAGTTTAAATCATTTATGTAACATAAGACTGGCACGAAATATGTGAATTATAGTGCTATTCGCAACTGGTACAAATATCGTAAGAAAATTACTATATTTGAGCAACGTCTAATATTATTCATTTTACAGGATCTATTTTAGACATTAACTAAAAAATTAGAATGGAAATTTTTACGGAAAGAGATAAAGAACTCTAATACAATAATACAGAGAATAATTGTTCCATTCGTACATACAAGATAATTTTCAAATTAAGATTTCACAGTTACAGAATGCAATCCTAATAATCAATCTATAGGAGCAAAGAAATCAAACCTATCGAGAGTTCAATTTCACATGTCTTTATGTTTCATGAAAGTAATCTGATAAACGTTGCACATTATACTTACTCCCACCTATCAACGTAGAACGATCACGTGTTCCACGTTCACTTTCACGTGATTCTCCCATTCACATCACATTGTGCGCACCCATTGTCCGGATTAACCATTTAATCAAATAACGCATCATTGCGCTCATTTCTCTCTATGCCTCTCTATAACACTAACATTGAGGCGCTCACTAAATACATACACAGACACAGATGCAGACACAAGCATAGATGCACAAAGGCACAGACATATCGATAAGTGACACAGATGTACAAAGATACAGACATATCGATAAATGACACAGATATACATAATCATACATACATGAATATCTATAGACAGAGAGAGAGAGAGAGACGTGCATCCAAGAGATATATGTAAATATCTACACACATATTTTGATGGATCAAAGTGAAGGGTTATTAAAGGGAGAATGGTACTGTGACCCCCAGGTCATACTTAATCTGTACTACTCTGTTTGTTCATTTATAGTCTCATTAATTTTGAATAACAAATAGAAACTTTTAATTTGTTCGGAAATGAACGAAGAAATGAAATTTAAAATAAACTTCTAGTCATGACATATTAGATAAGTCACGTATTGCTGATAATTGATATCTATGATGAGGAAATTAATCTTATGTTACACTGTTATCTTATCTTACCACTTCATTGATTTTCTTATTATTTTTGTTAATTGGATAAGAGAGTTATTGAATTCGAAATGATCGAATTAGCATTATGCAAATTTCAGAAAGAGCAATAGGCTATTAGATTATTTCGGATAAACAAAGCTTAATTTTCTCAACTATTTCCAATGTTTTAATTAAAAGGATTTGGCTTTCGAAATTTCAGAAATAAACAAAACTTTAGTGGATTAGGTAATAATTGGCCATTAGTGCGGATTTGAATTTAATAAACGAAAAAATGAAATTTAACATAACACAATTAATAAGGCCTGACGAATACGACTATACGATTGTTCTATAATTAACACTGATATAAATCTATTGATGATTGCCAACTGCTATTTTTAATATTCATCGTGGTGATGGTATTTAGGCATTTAATAGGGAAAATTCTTGACAATAATAAAACCTGAAGAATGCGATCTAAGCAGCTTTAATAAGATCTTGCTAGCAAGCAAATTATTTTGCTCTTTTTAGGATAATTTGGTGACGATCTTTTTTTCCTATGAAACAAAACTGAAGAATAAATGTATGAAGCACTTTTCTTCCTTACACTTTCAAATCCATTTTTAGTTCATTTGGAAATTACATTATTGAAAGTTAAGCTAAAATTGCATCTTAATTTATTCATCCATAATTAATTTCTATTCCAGGCTTCTTTTTAAAATATCAAAGGCTATCCTTTAATTTATTATTTATTAGTTTTATAATTTATAATAGCATTGTTAGCAGCAAGCAAACAACAATCATAATTCATTTCTATTTCAGGCTTCTTTTTAAAATATAAAATCTATCCTTTAATTTATTATTTAATAGTTTTGATAGTTGTAATAGCATTGTTAGCGGCAAGCAATCAACAATCATAATCTATCTATGATATCTTTTTCTTTGCTGTTTAGTTTTAACGATTATCATATAATAAAAAAACTCCAATTTCGTTTATCACAGTTACGATCTCTTCACGAAATATTCCATTCTACTGATATATGTATAAAATAAGACAAGAATTGTAATTGGCATTTGTTTTAATTAAAAATCAAACTCATAGGGTATCTATTTAATGTGAAAATTTTTACCAGTTATCTAGCAATGCTGATCGATCATAAAGTAATTAACAGCAATTTTTTAAATAATTTTCCTACAGTTATTTGTTCTTAACTCTCGATCGCAAGAAAAACAATCCTCTGTATTGCCAACAACCAATTCAAATACGTTAACATTAACAAGTTATTCCTATTGTTTTATAATTAATATTAAATTTAAATAAAAAATCACTGATAATATAATTTGTTGAATCCATAATAAAATTTGAAAGAAAGAGTGAATGGGTGAAAGAACAAAATCAGAAATAAGCATTAAATTATCATAAAAGAGTAGAGATTCACAATTATTTAAAAAATATCTTCTTAATTAATATAACGAAATTAAAATTTGATAGCTTGTATGATATGATATGATAAAGATATGATGATATTTTGATTGATTCACAAATAATTATTTCTGTATTTGAAAAAGTCTCAAATACACTTTGATTTATCAACTCATATCTATCAAAGTTTAATTGCAAGTGAATGAATTTAAAATCTTCCTCTGGTTGAATTTATTTATAACTCTGATGCACTTCTTTCTTTATCATATTTTTTCGCTGGAGATTTTATTAGAGCTTTTTACTAGAGCTAAGCTAAATAATATATTCTATATTATTATTATACTCTATATTATTGTGCTAAATAATATATTCTATATTATTATATATTCCATATTATTATTATATTATTATTATATTCTATATTATTGTTATATTCTATATTATTATTATATTCTATGTTATTATTATATTCTATATTATTATTATATTCTATATTATTATTATATTCTATATTATTTAATTTAGCTCTAGTAAAATACATCCATTCAATCATTAATGTTATAAGAATGAGGACGTTATTAGCCATATGAAAAAAGTCTTTAAAAAAACAAATACACAAATAACAACAATAACAATTTAAAGTTCTTAAAGTTTCACCTTCGAATAGGCCTTTCTATAAATCTGTATCCTTTTCATAGCTATTGCATTGAGGCAAACTTATCAACAACTTACCTTATCCTTACCTTCAATTTACAGAAATTAAGTCATTCCTGGAAAAGTCTTCATTAAAGTTGGAACAGATAACACAAAATCGGATCAGGAAACGATAACTTCAATTATTTTATCGATTTATTACAAGAAAAAAAAGTAAGAGGCAAAATAATTATTTATCAAAAATTGATTAATATGTTGAATTTCTTAAATTTTATTATCTTCATTTTAAGAACCAAAAATTATACGGTAATATGTTAATTGGTATTAAGTAAAATGAATTCTGACTGTTGAAGAAATGAACTATTAACTTACCATTATCATTTTTCTGATAATGATAACGATAATTTAATAATTCAATAATTTCCTGATAACATAATAAATAACTAGAATTTCATTTCTTATTCTTAGCAAACAACAAAGAACAGTAACGATAAGGAAATTGACGACTGTTACGAACGGTTGCTATTCTTTTCTAATTACAAGCATCTCTCAGGCTACAGGTAAGCAAGGGAAAAAATATCAAAATCTACAATTTAAAAAATTTTTTTTTACTACTAGTAGTAAAAATGTTTGTGTTACAGAATGTAATAGGTATAAGATTTTATAGATTACAAAGGTAGCAATAACTTAATTAGTGGTTTTGAAATTTTTCATATCTTTCTAATTAATTGTTATTCTAGATAGTTCCTATTTTATTATTTTAAAATTTTTTCGATAGGAATGTTTTATGAGAACCAAAGATTGATTGGTTTGAAATATATTACAGCTGATATCGATAACAATGTTACTATGATATCGATATCAGTAATACGGTAGTAATATCAGCCGCATGGATGATAATGATGCAAGCATCGATACCATTGACAATTAGTAATAGTACTACTATTGTTAAGTAATCGTGGTATTAATCTAACCAAGTAAGATGTAATGTTGAATAATATTAATACTGAGATAAGTTCTAGATGTTTTTTCCGCATATTAATATTAGCCTGTTTCATTGCATCAACATCTTGTATATTGCATCAACATCTTGTACACAACGTATTCAGCATGAAAAAATGCATCGATGGAAGAAGTTTATTTTATTACAACAGATATGGATGTAACTGTAGATTAAGATGAAATTACAAACTTCCGGTTGATAATGTCGACATGTAAAATTATTTATCATTTTGAATTACGGTTAAACCTTTTGAAAAAATTACTGGAATTTTCTGATTTTTCTAGGTTATCTAAATCTATGACTTCATAGATCTTTAAATTTTAGTTAAATTTAATGTAAAAAATAAGAAGGAATCGATTACATATAGACTAATACTATTCAACACTGTTTCATTTACTATTACTTACTTAGATGGAAGGTATTCGGATAAAGTTGTGTTGTCGGATATTTACAACACCTAAGAAGATTCGCAATATCATTGGTTTGACTTCAATGTATCCATTGTTTAGATTTAAACATAAAATTTTCCCAGTTTTTCCGAAAACTTACATTTAAGCTGTTGCGTACATCACAAAGGTTGCTATAGTACAGCTGTGGAAAGTGATGATTGGAAATATTGGTTCCTGATTTATTTCACCGATTACATATGGAAATGTGTTGATGGGAATCCTGTCTGTAGCGGTATGTTTTCATCTCAAAACCTAGTAAACTAATTTAATTTAGAATATTTGTAATTTTTTAAAATTAGATAATTAGCTTGAGAATTTAATTAATTCCAGTACTTATGTATGCCACAGTATTTACTTATATGGAATATAAGTTATGTTATTTTAGCTAAAAACGTGAAAGTACAAAAGATAACGCTCGAGCTAGAGGATCTTTCTAACTAATTTGCTAAGTTAAAATTATGAATGATTATAATTATTATATCGTCTAGTAAAATCAACAAATGATTGTAATTATGATATCATTTAGTAAAATCATAAATGATTATAATTATGATATCATCGAATAAATTGATATGACATCTAAATGAAATAATAAAATAGATTGTTATGACATTTCAATATTATCAAATTAATTTCTTAGAAGAAGAAGGAAAGAATTCAATTGATGTCTGTGCAGCAGCAATTTGCAAGTGTGATAGCGATTTGGTTAGCTGTTGGAAACAGAATGATTTCTCTTACGTGAAGCAAGGATGTTTGTCAATATGAAAGAGTAAAGAAAGCAAACAATTACTTGAAATGAAATAAACCAGTCAAATGAATTTATAACTAAGGCAATCATCTTTGAAAGTATTAAAACGATTATTTGAATCATTTCAATGATTTTCAATGTCATTTGTATGATGCGCAATAAAATGATAAGAAATCTAATCAGAAAACATTAAGATATCGGATATCAGATAATGCAGTAACACAGGTATAGCTGTTATAAAATAATAACAAGAATTTTAATAATGATATAAGTAATGATATATAATGATACAATGATACATAATGATATAAAGAAATGGTTATGGTAAATTGATACCGTTGGAGTGAATAATTTATTAAAATTGAAATGCAATTATATAACTGATCTTTAAAGAAAGAAAAAAATCAATCTTTCCTGATCATGTAATAGTCGTCTATCCAGAAATGCTTTCTGCTACTGCTATTCATAAAGAAGCAGGAAATTTCAAAGACTCATATGTAGCGCACGAATTCAACTGATATTTTATTTTCATTCTTACCAATAGTAAAATGTATACAGTTTGAGACAGATCGTTTGCATAACGATGCCGATTCCTATAGAAATTTTTAAATTTTGAGAGGAACATTTCAAATTCACCATATTCATTTGGCGCATTGTTTCGAAGTTTGGCGAAGTTCATTAAGATAGCTGGCAATAAGTTCCAGGATTGCATTTTGACTAACTCTCGAATTATTAGTGATTAGTTTTTGTTTAATTTACAAATAATATGTTACCACTATATGTATTCATATATCGAGAAATTTCTTCCTCTATTTTATCTATAAATGGGAGATGAGGTATTCAGAGAGAATGTCATCTGTAATGAATTGAAATCTGTAGAAATTAATAAATTCATTATCTGCTCAAAAAGCAATTACATTTTAAAAAGTATTCCTAGCGATGATTATTATGCCAATTCTCGAGGAGGAAAGAAAGAATGGTATTGTATGGTTTTTAGATGATTTGAAACTTGCATGTCTTCGCGCCCATCTATTCATATTCCATGAATGTCTATTGCACTTCCCAATCGAGACATCGCCTTCTCATGTATATATTATCTCCTTCCTTTCCAAAATTATGGATCATACATATACTGGAGTAATTTCTTGGCCTTTACGTTAAAAAATAGTTTGATTTATTTTTATTCATTACATACCCCGGATACACTACAAAAATTTGCATGTTAATCATCTAACAACCCATAGGCGAAGGATATTTAAGTATAAATTATGCGTTCTTAACATTCATTTATCATATATTGGATTTTTTGCAACGTAAGCTGGTGTGTTCTGAGATGTTTAAATGGCGAATAGCAAATTTTTAACTAATTTTTTTTCACATTTTCGTAGGTTATTTTTGGCAGGTACCTTTCTTCATAGAAATGTGGAAGTTCTTTTCCTTCCAAACTTTAGTCTTCCTTCCCATTAAAAAATTTTCGCTCATACACTCTTTCACGCAATGAATGACGTGAGAACGTTGTTGAGTGCGATAAGAAAATGAAAGATGTAATTGTTTTTAATTTCTTTTCAGTCAAAATTAGTTAGATGGACAATAAAGAAACAGGCGTTACCTATAAAAAGGGAAGGTTTGGTCTTCTGTATTTAAGCGCTGTTAAATTGTGTGTTACTGTGTTATTTGTTCCGATGAAATTAAGTTTTACGCAAAACATTATTTAAAGCTGATTAAAGCTAGAGCCTTGAATTAATTGTGATTTAGATCTAGTGCAACATGACCTGTATACTTAATTTTAGTTCTGATATCAACATGAGCTCGAAGAAACCGGTTTTGAAAGAAGTACCTGATGTTGTGGTCAATACGGAAACGGGCGTTACCTATAAAAAGGGAAGGTTTTTGGGCAAAGGGGGTTTTGCACGGTGCTACGAACTTACAGACATAAAGGATCACAAATTTTATGCTGGCAAAGTAGTTTCAAAATTACTTTTATTGAAAAATCATCAGCGCGACAAGGTATATGTTTTTTTAGTGGAATCGCTGATTTAAAATTATCCGGTTTCATTGACATTAACAAGAATTATTTTTTTCAATAAACACAAATGAAAATAAGTTAGGAGTGGGGAATCTAAAGAAGCATTCATCGCTTCTTCAAATTTCCTATGCCTCACTCATTTTCATCTGCGCCTTCACTTGGCCAATTTCAGAATATCATTAGGATATCTTTGTTAACTTTAAGATTGCTATATTTTCTGCACATATTTCACTTATCCATATCAGTTGTGAAAATACTTGATGGACTTCTATTGAGTGTTGCAGATGGCTCAAGAGATCCGAATTCACAGAACTTTACATCACAAACATATTGTGAGAATGGATGGTTTCTTCGAAGATGCTGATAATGTCTACATTTTGTTGGAACTTTGTCCTCGTAGGGTCTGTTTTTTAAACATTGCAAAAATCCATTTTTTATCTGGAAATTTAAGTTTGAAGAATAAATTCTATTTGATAAAAACTTCGCTTTTCTTCACTGGTTGATTACATTGTTTAGTTTTACTTATTGCTTGGATTTGCATATCTTACTACAAATTATAATTTTACATCGTTTTCTGTTTACAGTTTGTATGTTTTAGTCTTTGATGGAACTGCACAAACGTCGCAAATTTGTAACCGAACCTGAAGCACGTTATTTCATTAAACAGGTAAGCAAACTTTACTCGAGTATAATCATAAACCTTTTCCTTTTGGTTCATTCTGTATAATTTCATTGCGTTATAGTCCATTCAGTACATTGTTTATTTGTTCCAATAATTACGATAATTTCTTTGAGTTTCGTAGTTCACTGTTTTTTAGCATTTTTTTTAAACAGATTGTTGAGGCGTGCGAGTACCTTCACAAGAATAAAATCATTCATCGAGATTTGAAATTGGGAAACTTATTTTTAAATGAAGATATGGAGATTAAAGTTGGTGATTTTGGTTTGGCGACAGTGGTAGAGATAGACGGCCAAAGGTTTGTTTCAGTTCTGGAGATTTGGTGTCAAGCGGCAACTTGATCAGCATGTTTGATAAGGAAACAACTAATAAAGGGACAACCGCCGTTATTATTTCTCTTTCAAGAGTCTGTACACAGTAATTTTCTTGATATAGCTAAATTGGATACATGTTGCCATTAGTGAAATGGTATTAAGTCTGAAAAAAATTAGGAGTTAAATTCAGACATTGACTCCAACCTGCAAAATATTAATTAGTTTCCTATGTTTTGAAAGTATTTTTTTAATAGAAAGAAGACATTGTGTGGCACACCTAATTACATCGCACCTGAAATGCTCGATAAAAAAGGTCACTCCTATGAAGTAGACATCTGGGCAATTGGCTGTATTTTGTTCACATTATTGGTGGGAAAACCGCCATTTGAAACTTCTTCTCTTAAGGTATTTTTTGTTGTTAACGTAGTTTTAAATTGTACAAAATTGCATAAATTTTCTTTAATGATTTTGAATTTCATAAATATTATAAAACCACGATATTTTAGGATACATATAACAGAATAAAGAACAACAATTATTCAATACCAGGTCGTGTTAGTTACGAAGCTGGGCAACTCATTCGGCGATTACTGCAAACTGATCCTGAAAAACGTCCTAATATTCATGAGGTCTCTGCTCTTAGTTTCTGTATTACTTTCTTCGCTTAAGAAATTTTCTTTCGTCCTTTTTTTAAATTTTCACTGAAGGCGGTCTAACAGCTTTATGATTCTGTGCCGTTTATTCTTTATATAGTATAGAGAATTAAGTAATGTGATATTTGTTCAAATTTCAATGTGAACTGCACACATTTGTTTGTTTCTGATTATTTTCATGCTATTCAAAGCTATATTGAATCGGAATCTATTGATTGCAGGTATCGTATTACGCATTTTTTAAAGGTTATACGCCGATCAGGCTGCCGACATCATGCCTTACGATGGCCCCCAAATTTGCGAATACGGAAATTTCGGATAAGCGATCTGCTCTAAACGAATTGAGACAAGAAAATATTATGCTTACCCCGGAAGAACGTGCACGTAAGGTACAAATAAAAATTTTTCGGTTATTTTGAATTTATTGCTATCTACATTAGCTTAAAGTATGTATTTACAGGATTTTTTAGCAGCGCCGGTGCGTCCATTGACTTCTGTTCCCGAATTGCAAGTTCTTTCAGATGTGAAGGATCGTGAAAGTGACCCACGTAGTAAGTGCCACTCAGTGTGTTAAAATTGTCTTGTAATGCAATATAGAAAAAGAACATTGCACTCAAATAAATAATTATAGCAGTTTACATTAATTTATTTGATAAAGACACAGTTACCAAAGAGCAAAGAAATAGCAATGAAATATTCACTAAGGCTTGGCTTGTCTATTTTGATTCACTTACTCTTCAGGACTTCATCTATCCAAGTATTATCGTGCTCTCTGGGTTTCGAGAAGTATGTTAAATGTTAAAATACAAGAATTATTAGTTGTGTTGATTTACGGAGCTGTAAATTCGGGGGAAGCTTATGGTCTTAAGTTTATTTGTGGAACGGATTATTTGTTTCGTTTACAAATTCACCGTTTAATTTAATAAATCATCTTTCTACACTTATCCCATCAACTGTTGAAAATATCTAGGAAAATTTTCTAGAATTAATTAATTAATTCTTTTTCGTGAAACTTTCAGAAGTATTGCACTACAATAGGGTATAAAGGTCTATTTTCATAGAATAGAAACTACATTCCCGAAAATAACATTGTAATGGTAAACTAACCGAGGATTGACTAATGAAAGTCATTCATGTATTCTTCAGGCCTTCATCTATCCAAGTATTATCGTGCTTACTCGGTTTCGAGAAGTATGTTAAACGTTGAAGTACAAGAATTATTAAATATTTGTGTTAATTTACGAAGTTGTAAGTTCGGAAAGGGTTGTGATCCTAAGTTTACTTATGGGAGTTTCGTTCACAGATTCATTGTTTTATCCAATAACTCATCTTTCTGGGGTTATCCCATCGATTATGGAAAATATTTAGTAATTTCCTAAAATTGTTTCGTCGAATATTGCTCTTGAAACTGTCAGAGATATATCTTTTTAGTACTGCAATCAACTCTTCCTCTGCGATAGGGTACAAAGGTCTATTATAACACTTCAATTAAGTTAGCATATTACAATAAATCTTGTTATTCGAATAACACAAAAATTTTTTGCATTTCTGCAACTTTTAATATTAGGTAAATACATTACAATATCGACATTTTAATAAGTGGAGAGTAGTTATCACATTACTATAGCAAAATATGAATACAGCAAAATTTGGTTTTAATTTGCAAACTGAAGATCATGTCGGATTTATCTCGATTGAATTATGTGTTTTCAGCTCCAGGAATGTTGCGTGCAGGTGGTGATCATCCATCTGATTGTTATTTGTCAGACTTATGCAGACAGCTGGCAGAAGTTGTAACCAGTAAACCAAAGGACAATCCAAACATTCGAGATGGTAATTAAATTTTGTCGCGCAGAATTAAGCTTTTATTCCAATTTTCCATAAAATTGATTCTTTTCCATTATTGTTCTTGCAGATGACCTGGAAGACCCTGCTGCTATGCCAGTTTTTTGGATATCAAAATGGGTTGATTATTCAGACAAGTATGGATTGGGGTATCAACTTTGTGATAATTCCATTGGCGTTGTATTTAATGATAATACTAAGATGGTTCTGGATGCAGCGGGAGAGTGAGTCTGCTTTACTTTTTATTAATCATGGTCATAAAGGGCGGTCGTTTGGACTTAATATCATATCATTTTTTGGCTTTCTAATTTTAGTGACGAAATTATCTTTTTTAATACTTTTTTTAAACATGATTGCATTTCTTAATGAAAATTCTAGCACTTTTGTAAGTTTCAAATATATTTAATTCTTGAATTAAGGGTTTCTCCGTCATTGCAATTGCTAATTAGGTTTTTTTAAATCTAGACAGGTGCAGTATTTGGGACGTGAAAATGATGAGCATTATTACACGGTAAAGCATTATCCCGAAAAACTGCAAAAGAAGATCACTCTATTACAATATTTCAAAAATTACATGACTGAGCACTTACAAAAGGCTGGTGCTGACATGCCTATCCGTGAGGGTGATGAATTAGCTCGTTTACCTGTTCTCCGCATTTGGTTCCGAACGCAGTCTGCTATCATACTTCATCTGTCCAATGGAACGCTACAGCTTAACTTTTTCGAAGTGAGAATAGTTTCTATATCTTAAATTTCATTTTATTTGAAAATTGGATTGACAAGTTGTCAGAGTTCAAACTTGAATTTTTCCATGGGATTTGTGACGCATCTGGAACTTGTGTACATGTGAAGTTGAAACCCGAACTTAGTCGTTGAATCAAAACGAAGTTTGAATTTAACTACTGTTGCATACTTCTTTATGCTTTTATAAATCTTCATATTTTGTATATGGCCAACCAGATTATGTTTTAAGGATCATACGAAACTCGTGATTTGCCCATTGATGGGAGCTGCGACATATATTGACAGCGATCGCAATTTTCGTGTCCTCAAACTTTCTGCGCTTGCTAAGTACGGATGCCCGAAAGCGCTTCTGTAAGTCGAATTACATGAAGCGGAGTTGTACAATATTTATGTAAACAATATTTATGGGTCAAATGTGCTGTTTTTAAGGTTTTTTAAAGTCTAGGTAGAGTTCTCATGAAAATAGGGACTGAATTCCACTCTCGCTTCGGGACTTAACTGGTTTGTAACAGCTAATTTTGTGTATGGTTACTGCATCTCTACGTTTTTCTTTTTTTGTTGTAAATAATTTTAAAGACAATAAATTAGTAAGTTACTTTAGACTTATTGTAGGGATCGTTTGCGATATGCAAAAATGATGGTGGAACGACTGATGTCTGCACATCCCTCTCGACCATTTTTGTCGACACTTACCTCAGTGACACGTTCCTCTCCAAGTACTGCCGCCAATTATTGAAAGGAGCATAAACTTATTTTTATTTTTTATGGGAATTATGAAGACATTTTGAAAAATTTTAATGATCTTTTAACAGAACTAATGTATTTGCCGACATTTCCATGCTAGTAAAACTTTTCATTTCTATTCAAGTTATTTCGCATTATGTCTTATAGTTATCCGTTTTATGACGTACACCGTGTAGTACGACTGTTATACTTTTACTGTACTGTACTGAAATTATGACTGAATGTGAGCAGTGAATAACACAATTCTTTGATATTTGATAAGCAGTCTTGAGTTTGTTACTTGAAATGTTGGTAAAATTTTTTGGCGGTAGAGCAATTTAAGAGCTTTTTTCCTTTTCCTCCATCTCTTTTGTAATAAAGAGTTCTGTTAGGTTTTTGGTAAAGCAGTTAAACTTATTTTTTGGCCATCATGAAATCATAATCCGAAATAATGGAAATGATTTGCTTCTTATTTTTTAAATCCACCAAAACTGTGAGTCCCCTATTTTTTCTTCTGTTTCTGAAATATATCAGGTCAAACAATTTTTTAGCGGTTAACATCATACTTAACTTTACATATTGTTATCACAAGGAAAAAACAGCTTCTCTTGTATGACGAATTGAAGTACAATTGACTCTTACTTTTTGAGAAAAATTCTTATATGATCTGAACTCCAATTTTTTTTGATTTCAAAATTCAAAATCTTGATTGCAAAACGCTAGAATTTAATATGTACTAAAGTATATGCGAAATTATTAATGAGTAGCCTTAGCGTGGAAAAATCAAAAATGATGGACGCATTTTTTGTATGGTGAAGGTTCTGTGTGATCCCGGTGGAAAATGTTTTATAAATAAGTTGGTTGATGGTACCTAGAGCTGGAGTTGATAATACCTAGAGTATCTGGTGTTTATTAATTTCGTTTCTTGTCGTAAATAATGCTTGTTTTTACTCGGTTGATTTTCGCTTACGCTCTTTCCTCATTCCTTCTGATTATATATGCAATGATCAACTTACTAAGTTTAATTGTTGTAGAATGTTGGCATGGGTTCGTAAATATTTTCCAAGCTCATAAGTACAATGCAATCACATCACTAACAAATTGCTTTCAGTTACGCAACAAACATTTGCGATGAGAAACATCCATAAAGAACCGCACATTGCGCTTTTGATGAAATATTCCGATTTCAGGATGATAAAGAGACCGAGCTTGTTATCATTTCTTCACCGTTTCAACAGTCTCTATAATCCATCACACATTGTAAGCTTTAATGTACACTACACATAACGAACATCCACTAAGAGGAGCATTTGTAAGGGTAGCTTTTGGTGATATATGTTATAAGCTAAAATAAGCCGTGAATGTTATATCGCCATCTTTTAAGATGATGATATACCAATAACGGCTTATTTTTGTATATTTTCCAGTTAAATTCGCATTTAAACTTATTTTAAAGTTAAAAAGCTCTATTATGCATAAAGCTAAGAAGCCTGAAGTCGACTGCAATCCAGTCTTACTTATGGTTTTACGTTATTATTGAAGTAGTCGAGTAATTACAGTAATTAAAGTTCATATCAGGGATGATTTCATATATCCTAAATAGTCTACTTCTAACTTGGCTATTACAATGCTGATAACTTTTCTATAGACAATATATATATATATATATATATGTATAATATCTAAGTGTCTAAGTGGTATGTTGATTATGAAAAACTAACAAAGGATAGTTATTGTAGAAAACTTCATCTTTTTATTTCCACAAGAAAAACTATAACGATAGACAGCGAATATGTGATATGATAATATAAAGGGGTTGTGATGATATTGATAACGAAAGTTACATCTACGTGAAGACATTTCTGGATTAATGAATATGCATGATGAACAAGAAAAAAGACTGATGAATCGGAAGTGCTGGAAATACATTTATAATTGTATTTAGAAGTCACCAAAGCTATATTTGATAAATTCTAATAGGAAATAGAGGCTGTGCACATGGTTAAAAAAGATTAAAAGTTCTTCTTTATCTCATTTCTTGGACTATAACTTCAAAAGGGAAGATGATAACACATACATGTGGGAAGTGCGAATACCATTGTTGGCAATATAGTTAAATCTACGTGATGGTATATCTTCTAAAAATTGAACAGGGCAGAAATAGGCGAACCTTTGCTTTCATGAGATGCTGTTAATGCGAATGCAATAATGAAAACGTGACAGGTAAATGGGAGAAAGAATTTCAGTAGGTCACATTGTTAACATCGAGGTTTTCCGAAGAACTGGAAGGATATTTAATCCATTTCAATTTTCTTGTAAATAAATGATCATTTAGTATTCTTGCATGTGTTCTAAACATTAGTGACTGCATTATCAAAAGGTATCGCAGCATTCTAAACATTAGCGACTGCTTTATCGCAGTAATAAAATTATCAATTATTTTTTTCCAGTTAATAATTGCTTGATGCTAATTACTAATAGGATGATTTTTGATTTAAATTAAACGCTTTTAGGTAAATTAATGTAAAAGCGGATTGGAATTAGGTCAGATTTTGATTAAAAGAAGTCCCTTAGATCCATTAAAGTAACATATGTCAAAGGGAAAAGAGGCCTAGTATGATGGAAGAGCGGAAAGAGTAAGCTAAAAATATGCGGTACATAATTTTCTAACAAACTACTCATCTCTTTTAACTGCACCGCTTTAAGAAGCATACCGTCTTGTTAAAGGTAATAGACAAGGTCAATGAGATTAGCTTCATCTTTGACATCTGCTGACCAGTAAGAGAAAGGATAGGAATGAGAAGAGGAATTGCTGACCGTATATTACCGTCTATTACCTGGATGGACATGAACAAACATTATTACAACAGCGTATTAATTCTGTAATCCAATACTGTGTAATGATTAATGGATTTTTCACATCGGATATACTATGTGAAAATTTAATAGAAGCGTGTAAATAATACTTTTCAATTTATCAAATTCGGAATATTTAAGTACAGGTATGAAATATGATAAAAATTTCAGAAACGCTTAAACGCTTAAAAACGCTTAAAAACGTGTCCTACTTAATTCTTCCGAATATATGAAGCAATTTTAAATCATTCTAAAACATTTTAAAATTTAAATATATCCTATAGAATTTTATTGTATGCAAGGACTTCAAATTTCATTGCTATAATTGGATATGAAATAAAAAGCTCTGTACCGATCTGATAAGACAAACATTAATGGATGATCTTATAAGAATCGTTTTTAACTGCGATCTTAGTTTTCCTAAATACCGCCATTTTATACATGTTTCGCTAAATAATGACTGATTTGGACGGCTGATTGGTTTTTTCCACCGTATTGTTTTATTGGATTTCTGAGGGTTGAAAATGTTATTTGCGGTCGTTAAATTGATTTAGCAAAAGATTCGCATTTTTGAAGTATAAAAGATGAAAATTAGAATTTACTGACCTTTTGTTGAAATAAGGTTATAGAAGGTCATTAAAGAAATAAATATATATAACCCTCCGGTAATAATAATTCGGTTTTGTCTTCTATATATTTTGAAGTGCTTTTTTCCACTCATATTTAACTCATTAATACTGACCTGGAGTATTAGTTCAAATTATTTATTTAACCATTGATCACTTCATTACTTCAATTTCATCTTTCTATTTCATTTTACCTCTTACTTTATTATTTATTTTCATAATAATTTGCTTGACCCACTAATTTCAATCCATTTTACTGCTCTGATTTTCGGAATTCCGGAAAATATTTTCTGAAAATATTTTATGAAACGACAGTTCTTCGTAGTTCCTTATTGTTTAATGAAATAAATTTTGACAGGAATTTACAAAAAGCGATATTTATCATTATATAATCTAATTAGATCGTACCAATGATTTTGCAGAAAATATCCAGGGGTTATTCATATTGTTTCTCTCTGAAATATGCATTGTATTATTATGTTCCGGAAATTTACACTGTAATGCTATGTTCCTGAAATAGTATCAACTATGAAAATATTTATTCTATCAATTTATTCGATATCTGTAATGTAATTAGTGTGATAATCTGATCATTTTCACACCTTTCTTATCCCTATTCTACTTTTAAGTAATATTTACAACATAACGGAACGATGAAGAAAAGGTACATGAACTTTTGATGACCTTCAAGAAAGATTCCATCATCAATCAATCATTACCCAATACAATTTTATCTTCCGGTCATAAATCCTCGAAAAATAAGCGGTTGGCACCCATACTGAATATCTTATCATATGCCATCACTTATCATTAATTATCTTCCCTCATTATTTTTGCAACACAATAATGAGAGAGATAACATAATAAACAAAAGTATTTGGAAAGAATTTTCCGGATACTAACGAAACAAATTATTCTGGTGCAAATTTTGCGTGATTATACTACGGAAAAAATTGCAGAATGTAACTTAAACGTAGCTTAAACTTAAACGTAAACGTAACTTTTCGGTGTCTCGACAGTGATACAATGTTCGTTGAAAGTTTTCTGTTTTTTCTCATTTTCCAACTAACAATGGACAGATTGAACATCTTTGCATTAGTGACAGACTTTAAATATGCGATACTGCGATACTGAACGTTTCACTCAAAAACAAATTATCCAGTCTAATTTATTTTTATTGCTTTAATTCTAAACTTTGTTTAATTACTTTAATTAACTCTAATTTTTGTTTATCTTTAAGTACTTTAAATTTATTTCACTATAAGTGTGTTTAACTCATATTTAAAAATTTCAGTTAAATGAATGAATGAATTTTAGATTTAAATTTTCCCCGAACAATCTCTTCCGATCCATTTTTTTGGGTTTCAATTTCTAATCTTTATAAAGAAATATGCTGAAATATTCAATTGACTTGATTTTCCTATTCTTATAACCCCTGTTTGGACGACATTTTGGGAATATCATCGAAAAGAGGATAGTGAAAGAAGTAAGGTCAAGAAAAGATGATAGTATTGAAAGGTCACTTATAAGC